ATGAGACAATTATGTGAACCACCTGCTTTATATCACACGCAATTATTTTTTTTATTATCGATTAATAATGTTATATTTTTTAGTAATAAAAATGTCATAAAATTTTAAATTATTGCCTCTAATATTAAACTTATTTAAAATATATCGTTAATTACTTAATGACCTTATAAACTATTTATTATTAAATTATGTCACATTTGCATTAACAATAAAAAGTGGGTTAAATATTTCAAGGTGTATTTGAACATTTTTTTCCTAGATAACCAAACATACGTAAAGTACAGACAAGATTAGAAATGGACCCTACTTCACCAAAAAAGAAAGAAATAAATTCGCATTATCTTCTTGAAAAAGATTTCTTAAGCAATCATATGTAATTGGGGCCTTGGGGATGGTGAAAAGAATTTTATCACAATATTTTTTTCGTAATCTGTTTATTCAAAATGTTCAAAGCATATATTCATAATATCTCCTTGAAGCAGATTGATTAAGCAATCATATGTAATCACTGCATATTGGAGAAATGTAAATTTATTTATTTGTATGTACTATATTTTAACTGAACTTGGTAATTATTGCTGAAACGTTTACTGGAAGAAGGCAATGATGTACCATGTGATATATACATTAGAATCCTTCAATAAACCCCATGAATTACCAAATTTCTTCGATAAAGATGAATTCAAAAAGTAGGTACTCAGCTATCTCAATATTGATTCCCATTTGGTAATTAAAATTTTATGGGGACGAGCATTTTATCACAATCATATTTTCGCAATGTTTTTTTTTTTAAACTGCTATTCGTATCCTGAAGATGACCAAAAAATCGAGCGATCCTTTAAGTGCGTACAAGAGATACGTTTCCACAATTTTCCATATGTGCGTTTGGTATTACAAAGACTTCTATGCGGGATCCATGTGTGTGAAAATATAATGAAACATTCGACGATTTAAAATTAGCCTTTGGAAATCAATTGCAGGTGTGAAAAGAAAGCACGATTCTGCAAGTAAAAGATCAACATGCTTCGGGATTGGGAAAATTTCTCAGAAAAATATGGCCTTTGCCCAGTTCGGTTATATGGGATTCCAGATTATCTCTCCAAAGTCCATTGGTATATTTATTGCCTCCGTTGATGAATTAAGAGCATTCATCCATGTCTGGGAAACAATCGGTTATATCTTTGGTATCGAAGGTAGGTAATTGTTAAGTTGATATTTTCATACGAAATGCGCATTTCATTTATTTTTTTTAGATATAATATTTGTTGGGAGGATCTTGATTAAACTAGAGAAATCTGTTTGATTCTGCAGAGGACCGTTATTTGGGAAAATTGATAGTTTTATTTGGATATGGCGACTTCCCTAATTCAAGGAATGTGGGTTATGAACTTTATTATAAAGTCATCTATATTCTTAACGTATATTTGGAATATGCTCAATGAAAACGATACTAACAATAATGTTAAACCAATTTACGAGCTGAATAAATTTGAAAGGTTTCGTTTAGGCTTTCTTAGCAGTGTTATTAGATCACTGAGGTATACTGTGTACAGTAAGTTGTTCAACTGGAATCATAAACTTACTTTGTTTATGATGCATTATTGGCCTTTCCTTGGATATTTTGCATTTGGATACGTTGTTCACATGCAATTAGTTATTAATTAACATACCTTTGGGAGGGTGAAATTTGTCAAATGCAACAATTGTTATTAATAAAATTAAATATGAAAAAAAACTGCTCAATTATTAACAAAATTTTGGCAAATTATTATTAAATTTAAAACCAAATAGTTTAATAACAAATATATGAGTAGAATTATTGGTAATTATTTATAATAAACAATAAATGTACTTTTCATTTTTTTTAGTAATTAAATTAACAAAATTAAAAAATGTCTAAAAGTAATTATAATTTTAAAATTCAATATAAATATTCAAAAATAAATATATTATTTCTTAATTTATATGATGAAATTAAAACTACTTTCATTTGCTTTCAGAAACAATAACAATAAATTAATCCACATTGTGAAATATTATTATGCATATTACATTAATCAGATTTATCATAAGTAATATATTTCCTGTTTATAGAGAATGAGATTAACAAATATCTTACAACGTTTTCAATAAAAATATATGACTTTTGTAACGTAACGTGTAACTTTTTGTAAGTTGACAACATTGCAAACAACGCTCCACGGTGCAACGATGTCTCCAGAATTTAGGGCAGACCGGATCGAACCGCGAGGAAGGACGGTTGAGGTCTCCAGTAGAGGAGATATATAGGTATATTTTTGTGTGCGGGTTCAGAACTGTTAAACAAAACAGTTATGAAGCCCGATGAAGAAGAAGTATGCTGATCTGAAGAAGCAGACGTTGGAGTTCTTCCTCTCCAGAAAAGGTAGTGGCGTCCAGAATCTTCCCACGTCAGGGTTTATAAGTTATTATATTTTGTATTTCGTACGCGATATCACCCGTCTTGTTACACATTTCATATTGTTGTTTGTTTGATTGATTGAGACATGGATATCTTGGGTCATTAACCTTTTCAATGAAAGGTCTAATTAAATGATAAATATTTCGAGGATTATTAAATATAATGTTAAAATTTATAATATTTGGTTAATATGCTATCTCTTTGTAAGCAAATTTGATAAACGTGGTCGGTATTCAATTTATCTGTTTTTTTTTATTATTACATGTAAATTTTTCAACATAAAGTTTAGGTTATCAATTGAGCTTATTATTTAATGTAAATAGATTGCTTGAAATAAATGTATAAAAAAAAGTCTTTCAGAGATGAATATTCTTCATCGAGGAATATCCAATATTGAGACAATGATTGCATTTTATGTTTGGACACCAGAAGACTTGACTCGATCAGTTTGTCACAAGGATCTAGTGCGGAAATGGTTTGATAAATTTTGTCTTGGTGATTTTCAGTCGAAAATGAACTGTGATCTGGAAGTTAATGATTATCAAAGCCATAATTGATTGGGATCATCATATTCCTCTCCGAGAAATTCCAGAAAGCTTAAATGTATCACACATAACAATTTAAAATCATTTAAAACAAATGGATTCATTAAAAATCTTAGTGCATTAACACCTGCGATTTGCAACTCACCCGAAATGGAATCGAACTATTTACAAAACGGATAATCACTGGTGATGAAAAATGAAAGAAATATTTACAGTAAAACATATACTGTAAAAAAAAACAAAATAAATATATATAATTTCAGAAAAAAAGTCAACTGATATAAAGGGCTATTGATAATAGGTCTTTCTGCCCAAGGTATATTATAATATAAATAACTTTATATTAAATAAATAACTATTTTTCCGATTTAATTTTTAGGGTACCCGGCAATTACGTACAATTACATAATATTTACATAAATGCAATAAAATTATGTAAATTATATTATTTTCTATCCTATTTATTTTTATATTTAATATAGAAAAAAAAACTCTTGAATTACAGATTTTTTTCAATTATTGATGACGATGATGATTTTGAATTAATTTTAAAATTACTGATCATAACAACATTATTTAATAATAAATCTAAAATATTAGAATACAAAAAATACATACAAAAAGAAAAGAAAGATTTTTGTTTACCGATTAATTATAGGTAATTTTTTATATTAAAGTTTGATACATCAACCAATAATATTAAACATATACACTGTTACTTAATAAAAAAACAAAATTAATTGAAAGAAATAAATAATAATAATGTTTATTGCATCAGTCCTACAAAAAACATATACAGAAATAAAAAGAACAAAATAAATATATATAATTTAAAAAAACTGATACAAAGGGCTATTGACCATAGGTCTTAATGCCTTTAAAAGAAATATTAATAATAATAAATTCAAAATAAGTTTAAAGAAACATATTTTTAAATATTTAAATCCTCTTTTTTCTGTTAATTAAAATGTGAACGCACGCAATAGTTCTAGTAATGGCAGATTATTTTAACTGTAATTAATTATAATCATCTTATTGATGTAAACTCCTAAATTATAGAGAATTGTGCACAAATTAGACCACATTCAAACAAAGTTTGATCTTAAATACGTAAAATTAATTGTGATTCTAATTCTCTGCTTAGAGCAATTATTGAGTCTAAAAAAATACCGAAATTACCGGTAATATAACCCCTATTCGTATTTCTGCTAGTGATCGTGACAAAGGCCTGACATGGTTGGGATTTGGACAATTTGTGAGAGGATCGATTTTATCGGGTTTCCATCGCCCATTTAGAGAAGCACCCTTTGATTTATTGTCTGTAATTAACGAAAAAATAATAAACGATTTTTTTTTTCGTATAATTTTATTCACGATCTGTTCATCAATGTGAACATTGAGTAAATGTAAGTTCGCGGTTGACATTAAATGGATAATCTTTCCCGGTGGATAGTTACCATTATGATGATTTTGTAGTAGAATATACTTCAGTAGTATATTGATACTCTGCGATTCCACTATTTCCTTTGACTGTAAATCTGCTGCTATCCTTAACACTGTCTTTGTCCATCGACTTGGCTGAAGGTCCATATGCTGAACCTCATTCATTTGTCTGTCCATCTGTGATGAACGATGGCCCTATTGAAAGCACCGATAGGGCTCACAAAGACACTGGCTTGACCAGGATCGAACCGTCGCCGGTTCTATCGTTGGTAGGGCGACTTAACCAGTACCACTACGACCAACGAGAAAAGCGGAGCAGGCGGCCAAAAAAAAAGTGTTGTTTATGGACCCAATATAGTATCGAATGCAACAGAAAAGCGTTGGTTCCAATTCTTCCATTCTGGTAATATGGACGTCGAAGATGAGACATGCTCATCGAAAATGTTGATAAAATCATGGAAATCATCGAGTCGGACCGGCATACGAGCACTTATTCCATTGTCCAGGAACTGAAGATTAGCCAGAAAACAGTTTGGAACCATTTGCATAAGGATAGTCCTAAAAAAAGCTCGATGTATTCGAACCTATACTGTCAACAACTGACCAGATTGAAGCAGGCGCTTGATGAGAAGCGTCCAAAATTGGCCAATGTGAAGGGTGTTGTGCTCCATCAAGACATCGCCAGGCCGTATACATCTTTAAAAACGCGATGGAAACTCCGAGAGCTTGAATGGGAGGTTAAATCGCACTCGCCGTATAGCCCATACCATTTTCTTAATGGTAAAAATCTGGCTACAAGAGAGGCTGTGAAAATGAGCTGGTCAAGTTTTATACCAATAGAGACGAGGATTTCTTCAATCGCAAAATTACGAAACGGCGAATATTTGATATAAATCCGTAAATTCTAATCTTGTTAATTTTATCGTGGATAAGTCAACGAAAACAAATACATTAATAATAGACCTAGGTCTTTATATATATTTTAATTTCGTTTTTATGTTATATTATTCACTCAATAAATTGTTATTATTAATATAATAATAATTATAAGTGAGGTTGTATATGCCTAGATTACATGACGATTTTTCTTGTTCTATGTTATTCATTCATTGTTGCTTTATCCTAGATCACCAGGCATACATAAATTGCAGACAAGATTGGAAACGGACTCTAATTCACGAATAAATGTTTATTTTTAGCCTCCTATACCAATGTCGAACGCATGCATTCGTAATATCTCCTTGAAAGCAGATTGCTTAAGCAATCATAGTAATTTTTTCACTGTCTATTTGATGGATAGAAATGTAATTCCATTTGTATGCACTATCTTTTAGCAGAAAATGAACTTTAGATTATGCATATATTTTTTTGTATACAAAACATACACACATTGTGCTAATTAACAGAAAACAAAATGCAATACGGAAAAATAAATAATTTAAATTATTCAATATTATTTATTTGTTTTATTTAATGTTTTGCAGAAAGATCAGTAGATGTTTTTAACTGTTTATTATTTTTTTTATTTATTTTGATTAAATTTATAAATATGACTTTTAAAATCTATATTAATAATAATTATTGCACCAAATAAAATAAAATAAAATTTAACTCAATATTATTATTTCATTTTGCTCAGATGAATTAACAAAACGTGTTTTTATTTTAAAGATCAATAGGTTACACAAATATTTTGCTTTGTATGTAAGCACTGCACTTACAGTGATTCCATATTATTTATGCAATTCGATTATACTTAATGAAATCAGTTGGATTAAATGATTCATTTATATTTTTATATTTTATTTTATAAATAAAAGTTCAAGAGCAGAACGAGAAACTGGTTTAATAAAAATATTTTGTGATCAAATATAAAAAAAAAGTTTGCATGTGTATTGATTCTCTATTGTTTACACCCGACTGGATTGCAACTTTCTCGGTCTGAGTAATTATTGCTTTTATGATAATTTGTTTGGAAGAAAAGCACATGCGTGGGGATTTGCGGGTTCAGTCGCGCAGATACTGACTGACCAGTGGGTGGCTTCAACATGGAAAGTGATAGTCGGTTTCCACAAAATCGGAATAGAGCAACCAAAACCAATTTAATTTTCGTTTTTACTGTTGTAGCTAAATCGAGAGCTGAAGAGTTTGTGCGACGTTTACTCGACGAAGCCGATGATGTTCCATGTGATAGCACATCGGAATTCTTCAATAAACACGAAGAACTACCAGATTTCTACGATGAAGAGGAATTCAAACGGTTAGTACACACTTAACTCAAAATTAATACCATTTGGTAAATTAAATTTTAAGGGGACAAGCTTTTTACCACAATCACATCTTCGCGATGTTTTTCTCCAAATTGCTTGGTTTATTGACGACCTTGGCCTTACCAAAAGCTAATCATATCCTGAGGATGACGAAAAGATCGAGCGATGCTCTCAGTGCGTACAAGAGGTACGTTTCCACGGTTTGGCATATGTGCGTTTGGTATGACAACGACTTCTATCCGGGATCTATGTGAGTGAAAATTTGATAAAACATTCGACGATTAAAAATCAGCCTTTGGAAATCGATTGCAGATGTGAAAAGAAAGCACGATTCTGCTAGCAAAAGAGCAACGTGCCTCGGGATTGGAAATATATCACAGAAAGATATGGCTTTAGCCCAGTTCGGTTTCATGGGATACCAGATTACCTCACCGAAGTCCATTGGTATCTTTAGAGCATCCGATGATGAATTTAGATCGTTCATCCATATCTGGAGAACAATCGGTTATGCATTCGGTATCGAGGATAGGTAATTATTAAGTTTATATTTTCATTGGAAATATGCACTTTCCATTTCTTTTTTTTTTTAGATATAATATTTGTCGAGAGGATCTTAATGAAACAAGAGAAATCTGCTTAATTCTTCAAAGAACCGTTTTCAAACCGTTAGTTGGAAAAATGGATAATCATTTCCTCGATTTGTCCTCGGCTCTGATTCAAGGCATGTGGGTTATGAACCCTATTTTAAAGACCTCTGTATTCTTAACGTATATATGGAATATTCTCAATGAAAGCGAAACTAACAACAATGTTAAACCTATTTACGAGCTTAGTAAATGGGAGAAGTTACATTTGAACTTAATTTATAGCGTTATTGGCTCGCTTAGGCAAACTGTGTGGAGAAAATTTCATAACTATAATCAGAAACTAACTTTGTTTTTTATGCATTATTGGCCTTTCCTTGGTTATTTCGTATTCGGATGCGTTGTTCACGTCCAATTAGCTCTTAATTAGTATACCTTTGAGGTGGGTGAAATGTGCCAAATGCATCTACTTTTTCTCTTACTAATAAAATGGTGTAAGATAGAAAAAAAACTAGTCAATTAACATATTGGTGATAATGTGTCTATAGAATATACATAAAAATAATTTTATTAACCAATTTTTGACAAATTTCTGTGAATATTTATAATAATAATTATTAAAAAATTAGCTTATGTAAATTTTCTTCTTATTAATAAAAAATATAAAACTAAAACTTTAATGCTATTCTAATCTATTTATTTTTATGCACTGTACATGGTGTATAATGTGTAATAAGAGGTACTAATCTGATTTGACCTCGTACAACACTTTTTTTTTTTATTACTATCTTTTTATTATATATACAGAAAGTCATGTATTTGTCACATCTTGTCACCACTCTATATTTATTTATAATTGTAATTATTGTATAGAATAAATATAATTACATTTATAATTCAAATTATAGATAAAAAACTAATTAGAAATTCAAAGACTCGAATTTAAAATTCAAGGATAACTTCACAAGTTATAGAATCATGTATGATGATTTTATGACATTAATTAGAAAATTTTATTAGTTAAATAAAACTAAAGAAATAACATTTTTTTCCTTTAAAATGAAGGTCAAAAGTAATTCTTAATATTATCATTTTTATTGCAACATATACATATATCCACAGACTATTAATTAAGAATTAATCCAATTTATTACTATAATACAGAAATATTTATAGTAATTATTGTAATGAGTTGCTTTTTTAGTGTAAATACAATTTATGTTCATAATTGCTACAAGAATTAATGGGGTACTTGATAATTACAAATAATAGTAGAACGTTGGATGTATTTGAATACTTGAATGTACATGTTTTGTTGGTAATTTTATATGAAGTTAAAAATATTCGTATCGGCCTTCATATGCTAATTGTTGCACATAATACTGGAAAATTGTAACACGTTTATGAATTGAATTTACATATACATGGAGCGTCTATCGCAAAATCCATATGATTCATAGGAATTACTTACCATGAGAAAACGCTTGTCAAAATTTCATGACAATCTGATGATTAGTTCACCTGTTACAGTTTGGTTTTAGTGACGCTACTTTTGTATTCACCATTTTGCATGAACATTTGATTATGAGAAAGCTTTGTTCGAAATGGGTACCTCGTTCAAGCTCTAAGTAGACCAAAAACAATGAGTTGATGATACTGAGCGCTGTTTAAAGCTGTTCAAGCGAAATGAATAGGATTTTTTCATGTGGTATGTAACAATGGATGAAACCTGAATCCACCACTATTGTCAAGAGTCAAATCGGTCGTTAGCTGAGTAGACAGCAAAGGGTGAAAGCCTTATTTTGAGACCAAAGATAAATCGTTCTACAAGAAAGGTATCGAAATGTCAGAGAAGCGTTGGTATGAATGTGTGTCTCTTGAAGGAAACTATGTTCATGAATAAAGTCGAATATTGTCATCCTACGATATTATTGAGTTATACCAATAAAATGTTGTCTCAAATTAAATAATAATCAACATTAATTTGAAATAAAATTAATTATTTGTCTTAAAATCAAAATGCTTTTTTGAACAGGAAATTTTCACTAAATATTATATAAATTCATAGTAATGATGTTGTTTATGAAGATAAAGATGCTGCAGCGATAATCATTTTGAGAGATATAAAGTGATCTAATAGATTTGAACTTATTGATATCTAGAAGAAATTACTAATTCGACACATATCATCTGTTACAAAAAAAAAACATTTGCATCTTTTTATGTAAATGTTATTTTACTTATTATATATTTTTAAGAATAACATCCGTATAATTCATATCAAATTAATAATCAAATTGATAATTATGAATCAAATACAGACATAAATATATACAAATTGCTATACCAGGAGTCGGCAAACTTGTATAACAAAGATATATATTTTAAAACAAATAGGCACCCGTAATTATTCATTCAAAGAGGCTTAGTAATTTTATAAAACCCTTGCGCTAAACGAATGTACTTTAATTGAACAACGACTTGTCGTAACACATGTATTCACAGGAACGTACTCAACATACATATGAACGTACAATACATATGCATATCTATCTGTTTATATTTTTCAATATAAATTGTGTTTTATAAACTAGTTTAATAACAATAGTATCTAAATAATTATAATTTATAAAAAAAATATAATCAATTTGTTTTCTTCTTTATCATTCATAAAAATTAATTAATAAATTATTCAATCATTCAATTTACATAAGATGATTAGCCTTGTCAAACTATATTGCAAAATCACAACTACATATAGCAATACCTCCCATAGTACGGTTTCGATCAGTCCGGATCCAATATAGGCCAGGTTGAAAACTTCAAAACAAACTAATTTTTTTTTTATTATTTACAAAGCAATCTATCAATACAATCTACAATAAACAGATAACATGCTCTAGTTTTGGGCTTATTGTAAAAAAAAATTATAAATATATATTGGAGATTTGATCCAGCGACCATACTCCACAGAGTGCCTATTAAAGAAAAATTTACGAATGCATACACAAGTCGTATTGCCAATTTAGGCACAAACACTAACTTAAAAGCGATTAGGAAGGTCCTGTGGTTTGAATTGTTTCAATCTTCGTTGATGAGATTTAGTGTGTGTAAGTTCAGAGGCAAGTTGGTTTGGATGGTCCTCCAGCCGATTTTGGTATTTGCTGCTGAGTTCCGTTATCTCATCCTTCACAAATCGGACTCCAGTGTATTGATGGATGTATTCGTTAGTCAATAACCAGGGAGCATTGGTAATTGCTCTGAGCGTTTTTGATTGGAACTGCTGTATGATGTCGATACTTGTGTTCCAAGCAGATCCCCATAGTTTGTAGTCCATATTGGTTTTATTATCGTCTTATATATTAAACTCTGTTTTTCGCTGAGATGTATGAGTATCTACCCATCAGCCAATGCAATCCTTTTCCTGTCAGTCCAAGTTATTTTCTTTTTGTCGTAATATGCTTTTTCCAGGTGAGTCGACGATCCAGATGCATGCCAAGATACTTATCATCATCAGCCTGTGGTAGGGCACTGCCATGCAGTACGTTACATGCACCGACTTAGTTTCATTAGCCCTAATTCTCCACCTTCTAAACCAATGTTCTATGCTATTCAGACTTCTTTGGAGTATCTGTGAGGCCGTAGTTCGGTTTTGGTGGGATGCTAGAACAACGGTGTCATCAGCAAATGTGTCTATAGTGGCGTGCTGAGGAGTTGTTAAATCAGCCGTGATATTGAGCAACATTTTAATTGAGCTAAAGAAATATAAATTATATTTTTTTATAATAATAAAATATTTATTAGTCACCAATTGTAACCAAAGGGCTATCGACCGAAGTCTTTCCGCCCGATATTTTTTATTTTTATACAATCTAGTCTCTTTTTATGTGATTTATTTATGTATGATTTTAATATCTATATCTATAAAATATATTAGAATTCATAATGTGATGTTAACGAATATATGTTGGTGTGATAATTAGAAATGTTCCTAGAACACGACTGTAAAATGTAAATATTTCACTTCGTGATAGTTAAGTTGCCTATATACTTAATAAGAAAATTTGACTTCTGGAATATAAACAAATATATATATATATATTTTAGTCGCCCGTTTCATGAAATTTTGGTTTGATTCCCAAAAATCAACAAAATTTGTGGGGCTGATAAACCCGGAAAAGGGGTAGAATAGGGCCAAAGAGATTTTTATAAATTGATATAATTCTCTTTTTATTAAAAAAAAAACATTTATTTCTTATTATTTTATTAATAATTATTATTTTTAAATTTTAATTATAGATTTTATAGTATTAATTCGTTGATTATACTTTTAACAATTAAATGTTTTAAAGAATACTTTTTTGGGTAGTAAAAATTATAGTGTTATATAATTATGTATAAGATATGTATAACAAGTACATTATATTTTATTAAAAAATCTATGTTTCTGGATTGTATTTATTATTGTTGAGTAACTTATGAAATGTCATTGATGAATCTCGTTTGTTAAAATATGTTCACACTTACAAAAAAAAATCAAAATTAAAACATGAACGAAAAATGAAAGTAAAGGATGAGACTTATGTTAATTTATTGGACATCTTCGCTTAAAACCTGTTTAGCTATCTTTTTTATTACATTGTCATCTCAAAAGGTCGACAAAAATCAGTATATAAGGGTATTTCGGATTAGTAGAAATCACACATTCAGACAACACACTTGAATCAACATGAAATTAGTGAGTATATCAAAATATCTAATAAGCAATTATAATTAATATTTTGTAAACAGTTCGTTGTTCTCGCCGCCTTCGCTGCCATCGCTTTGGCCCAACCTTTGGACTCCGACAAGGATGCCCTTGTCCTGAAGTACGATGCTGATAACATTGGAGTCGACGGATACCAACATACGTAAGAGTTATGATTTTGATAAGTTTGAAAGATATTTACGAAGGTGTTTGGTATTTCAGTTACGAAACCAGCAACGGTATTTATGCTTCTGAACAAGGACACGTCATCAACGCTGGTACCGAAAATGAAGCTATCGCCGTCAAGGGAGAATTCAAATACGTAGGCCCAGATGGTGTCACCTACAGCGTCTCCTACATTGCCGATGAGAATGGTTTCCAACCACAAGGTGCCCACATCCCACAACCAGAACAATAAGTTAATTACCAACTGCCATGAATTTGACTCAACGTACCTTTAATAAAGACATATTATAAAATCCAAGAAAATGTTATTTTTATTTCATTTTTTATAGTTAATAACGCAAAAATATTTATAAATCATAATAAACTGATTAATACAGAAATTGACTGAAAGTATACTTACCTTCAAGACTGTACAAAGGAAATCTAATACTACATGCGCCATTTTTTTACTGAGGCACTGCATACATTTATAAATAATAAATTGCTGCATTCCTAAATAACTTAAAATTTGCATAAACATATAATTTATGCTAATCAAGAAATTTAAAAAAATTAAATGTCAAATTTTAAATATAGACAGGCCAGAGATTTGTTTATTTTTAACATGAATAAAATTAAGTGACATCAAAACACTATAAATTATACAATTATAAAAAGTCTTTTCAAAATTCAATATTTACACTTTTCGTGCGGTAACTGCATCGTGTAGCGGGCAAAAATGAATCATTGTTTTAATGATACTCGCGAAAAATAATAAAATTCGAAACTTGTGATGCGCTTTACATGTAAAATTCGCTGTGATAATTTATTTATCTGTAAGAGACAATAAAGACACATAATAGGTTTTAAGTTTATGTTATAGAGCAATATTTTTTTTCTTTAAAAATTCCAAAATATTTATTTATTTTATACATTACAACATAAATTTGCAATATGTGATACTTTTCGAAAGATTCACCTCTATGAAGAGGGGTTCCGCAAAACGAACACACAAAGCTCTCTTTGGGGATTGTAAACATTTATAAATTTCGACGTATAACTTAGGCATTTTGATTGCAACTTTTGTATGTTTGATTTGCTTGCTCTCACAATTGGATACCATACGTCCTTACTGATAAATAATTTATTTTCCACTGATAATTCCGACCGTTTCACTAGAAGCTAGTAGAGTTTTCTAAACTTTTTTTCTTAGACTGAATGTTATCTTTCCATTTGGCTTTTGTTGATTTGGGCAGATCTGCTATTCTCCATTTTTTAAGCCATTCAGATGATACTGCTGGATCTTCATCTGTAGCCAAGAATGCTGTATCATCAGGGAATGTTGCAATCGTAGTATTGCTAGTTTTAGGAATATCTGCCGTGTATAGAAGGTAAAGCAGTAATTCTAATATACTTCCCTATGGCATCCCTGATTCGATTGGATATAAATCGGTATTTTCGTCTACTATTTTTGCCTGAAACATTCTATAGTCGAGATGTGATTTTATTATTTATAATAATTATAGTCCTTCTTTATTTTGCATAGTAGTCCGAGATACCAAACTTTGTCAAATTCTTGCGATAACTTCAAATATGACACAATAGGTCTAATTTTGAATATTCGTTCGTTTTCGTCCACAATATCATCATTGTTTGAAAAATGATGGTTCATTACTTTCCCAAATATGGGAGATTAGATTGTAGGATCGGTTGACACATAGTCATCTCTACTTTATATGCAAACTCTTCCCATTAGTAAAATTAGACCCAAAATTTTTTTTAAATCTTTTGCTGTAATTGGTTTCCATTTGATATATCACAGATTTCCTCATGACTCTAAATAGCTCCTCATTTATGCAATGGTGCCGATTAATGTCTTCTGCCATTAATTCAAATAAAAATGAACAACCTGTTGAGAGTTAATTTCGATTGTATTTATAGATGCATTTACCGAAAAAACTAGGGTACGTGACATCAAGTCTCGCACCACACGTGCTAATAATTTATAAAAAAAAATGAAACACAAGGGTAATTTTTTTGTATACATTTATTGTAGTGAATTAAGAAAGGAAGTCCATTTTGAAGAGCGATGGATGGGAGAGCAGTAAGATGATTGTCGACGGTTATAATAGAGATTCCATAGTTGAGGCTTTCAATGCGTATATTTCTTTCATATTCTTTTCCTTACTTTTCTTTTCTCCACACTCACAAAATAAAGAATAAAGTAAACAATAAAGAGAGAGATAGAGTGAAAAAATTATATATATAGAAAAACATATCAAGACAAGAAGTCATTTACAAAGAGCCTTTCTGGCTCAGTAACAAACTGATACATCGTATAGTTCACTTTGTTTAATAACATGTTATCAATATTTTTTTTAAACTTAATTATATATATTTTTGTTTGGTAATGTACGTATAATAATCATGGAGATGCGAAGCATCGTCCTTCAGGACGAGGCGTCTTGGAATTAACAGAAACAACATACATCCGAATCAAATAAGAACTAACACAACAGAAACGTATGTTCAATAGACAATAATAGTATTATTTTTTTATTACAATAATAATAATAATTATTTAATAACTATGGTCCATGTTATCGTAATATATATATATTTTATATATAGTTTTTTTTTTTTGAAAATGATTTTCTTTTTATAATTATATTTTACAGCAAATATTTACAAAGGTAAAGAGTTATTGAGAAATAGATAGAAAGAGGGGAGGGCAGGGGTTTAATAGAGAGAAAGATAGAGATAGTTAAGAGATAGAGAGAGCCACATTGCATTTGTGTTCCAAAATGTTTAACCATCAAACGATTCCGTTTGTTTTCATATAATAATCATGATTTCCCATTTATTTTTCCTTCTTCCTTTTTTTATACAATTTACGTATTAATTAATTTAATTATAATATCGTTTATTTACTTTTTTGTTGTTTTCTTCATCAAAATTATCAACTAGTACTCATTAGTAACATCATTACGCAATAAAGGGTGGACACTGTACAACATCAAAATTTGTTATACAATAGCAATATTAATCGTTCGGATTTTAGGAGTAATTTATTGAACTATCAAAGCTTTCATTACAATGTTTTTTTTATTTTGAAAAATAAGTGATTATATAGTTTTTTAGAGCTACGTTTATATGGTATTAAATCTACGGATGAATCTACCTTGAATTGAAGCAATCGCTGCCAACTGATTGGTTCAATCGCACTAACGTTAATTTAATTATTAATTAAATAAGAATCGGGAATGTCCAGAAGAAAGATTTCAGTGTCCACCCTGTATATAATAATTTAAATTACACTTCAATTTTTGGTCGTTTAATTATTTCTTTAACTCTGTTATGATTTTTTTTTATTCGTTATTTGTAATTGTTTTGTCTAGCATATTCTTTGGTAAATTAAATTTATTTTGTACGTTTCATCAAATTCTGCACGAAAAGTAAACGCGATATACAAAACTGAAAGAACGACGATGAGATTTACAATTGAAAGCTCAGTCGAATATATGAAATTGTTTAGTTGATCTTCTCTGTCTATTTGCCGCGATGAATAACAAATCTTCTTCGATATTCTTCTCTTATTTTTGTTTGATTTCTTAATTATTATGATGAAAACGAGAAGAAAATTAATTATTGATTAATAATATTAATATAGACAAAAAAATAGAAATGAAAACGATGTTGTAGCTCTCTACAAATTGTACAAATGTTTCTCTGCATCCACCGATTTATTAATATTGTCAGTAAAATCCTTAAATGCTTAAAATGGTCATATATAATTTACATGATTTTATACAAATGGCTTGATTCATTTCATTCCTTAGTACATTTTAACAAAGAGGAACAAATCAAACGAAACTAAATAACAACTCCACTCTAGTGGTTGAGAAATTATAAAGTACACCAAATTTTCATATTAGGAAATAATGTTTAATTTACATGTTGTTATTATTATTATTCAATTTATAATAATTATTTATATTTTTTTTTGTTGTTTGAGACAAATCTATGAAACATTTCATATGTTTGTTCTTTTTTTTGTCCATTTATTTATTTATATATTTTTTTTTGTTTTTTTTTCTTGTTTATTAAATTTTCGGCACAATTAGCACAACACAGACGACACAAATACACACTGTACTTAAATATCACAGTGAAGAATTTAAAATATTTAATTATGTATATAATTATTTTTTTTATTTATTTATTTTTTGTTATGTATATATAATATATATAGAATGTATATATTTAAAATATTTTGTCGAAGCAAAAAAATCAGTTGTAAGGCTTTGTTTATTCATAACATTCATCATTTTCCTCTTGCCGTTTTAATTATGCAATCAATATTTTATATATATAAATTTATGTTTTTTTTCCGAACGGGAAATTGCATTACCAACATGACCATAGATAGTGTTGTTATGTGCATAATATACATGTTCTTTTTTATTATATTTATATGCTTGGAGTTTTTGGTTGATGTTGTTATTGTTGTTATATTTCTCATTTCCGGTTTAACGTGTGTATGTGTATGTGTGAAACTTATTCTCTCCCATGCATAAAAAAATATCTATGATATTTATTACTTCACCATTTTTTTATACCTTAAACTACTTTGAATCACATTTTTTAAGTACAAATACATGAGAGACTTTTTTTGTTTTATTATATTATTATTTATATATATATATACCATTTTGCCAACTCAACAGAAAAAAACCTTTTCATTTCCGAATTATTGCATATTTTTTTAATATATATTATATTGTATATATATATCCACTTAATTGTTCATATCTTGTTCTTATTTTCTCGTATTCTCTATATAAACTGGTGAAAGGAGGCACATTAAATATTAAATCTGTCCAGTGGTTATCTTCTTCTGTTATTATTATTTTCTCTTCTTCAGTCAGTTTTGAAAGGACGGCCCATTTGTTTTCTTCACGTTTAAGAGTTCCTCTTGCACTTGATAAATGGGGATATTGAACACAGATTTAATTTCTTGCAGGATTCCTAAGCGGGTGTTACTGGTTTGGCAAAGGGTTTTCCTGCCGTATGTCCGATTTCAGCTTCACGAATTCCTTGGCCACCTCGTCGTTGGACCTCTGGGACAGGATCCGCAGGATTGTCCATCCCGTCTCGTCCATCTGGATTCTCTTTCCCAGCAACAACCAGCAAGCGCACGAGCCCTAAGGGAATACAAGAGCTTTAACATGAACCGAACTTGTAATCCTGTTACAGCCTTACCCTATCAACGATGTCCTTCAATTGCATAACAGCAACTCCCACTAGGCGGTCCTCGCGGGCAAAACAATAGTCCTTAACGCAAATGTGCAACTCGTAGAATTCCAACTGCTCTTCATTACCGATCGTGCTACAAAAAAATAATTGAAAATTACAAGTAATCCTTGTTATCGATGTTAATTTTCAGATAAACTCACAAGTGGAAGGTCACGTTGTACTTGGGTGACCAATTGTTCGAATTTGATTTCGTCGCGTGTTTCCTTTTCTTGTCGGAAAGGTGAGGTCCGATCAGGTTCACTTCGACGAATGGTCGGAACATGCCAGAAACTACAGTCCACTTCAAATCGTTGGCAGCCACAACTATGAATAATAGCACGGTTAGTTAAAATCATCCTACAACTATAACTATCTGTAAATACCTTTCACGGTGACTTTGTGCTCTCCAGTTCCAGGATGCGTGAAGAGGTCAACTTGTATCGAGACCTCGCCGACGCTACCTTCCTGTCCTTCAACGGATTCTGCAAATTGTCCCGCAAACCTCAAATTAGTCGATATCAAGATATGCAATTATTATATATGTTTTAGTTTTGGTAAAGTTGTCTATTTATTATTTACAAGCTGAAATTGAAACTAGCATGCCCAAAAATCATCAATTATATTAGTTGTGGGTATAAAATCCGCATGCAATGAATAAACCTGGAATAAAATCAGTTAAACCACGAACCCTTGTATAAATGTAAAAATATTATATGTCAGTGACAAAAATAAATAAAATATGTATTTGAACATATAATATTTGATTAGTTAAAGCATGCATTAAATTCAAACCATAATATTAGTCTACGTTTCAAAAGTAACAGAACAAAACCTATGACCTTCCATTGATAAACTATGGTACTATTTTATATATTATGGGATGTCAGATTACGCTTATAGTTAACTAACTAACTATATTATCATTGGAAGGTTTAGTAATAAATAAACTAAAATAAACGGAAATAAATAATTGTCGTGTAATTTGTTATAAGTGTTTAGACAGAGTATGACGAATTATTTATCCCAGCGATAAAAACTATAGTTTATGCTGGAGCAAATTCAAGCGGGATCCGAACAAAACAAAAATCTCTTCAAGTTCTGTTGAATTTGCTCGGCGTTGGAAAACTGTGAACGTGTTTAAAAACTAAGACTAGCTTCTTGATCAACGTATGTAGTATATAGCCAAACAAAATGTGGTGGTGCCAATTAACGAATTCTAATAAAAATAAATTTAGCGGCGATTGTTTTTTTTTTCTGATAAACAAATCATCGATTCTTCGGTGATTCATTTTTGATTTGATCTGGCAAATATATATATTTATAAAGATATGAACTGATTTTGGTTGATGGTGAAATTCAAAATTTGATATTGCGAGTATCTGCAACAGTTCTTTTGCTTTTTGGCTACCTTGACGACCCTCGCTCTCTCTCCGTTTGCGCGCCTTTAGCGGCTCCTCGAGCGCTTCTAATCCCGTTTCAGTCTCATCATCGTCGCGTATCGAGATTTGCCGTTGCAGGTAAGTCTCTTTATTGTTTAGCGGCACTTAACGTGGAGGAAAATAAAAACATCAAACACACATCGAAAAAGAGAATAAACCCCAAAAGAGTTTGGGAATAAAAGAAGAAAGACACAGGAAGGTTTATTGCGTAATTTAGAAAAACAGGACTGACCTTCGTTAACTTGGGTGGTTACAAACGTCTTGATGAGGGTGTCCGTGGTTTGCGTGTACAGGGACAAAGCGTAGCGTAGGCTTTGCAGTTCCGCGCTTTTGTCTAGGAACGTCTTCTTCAGACCGTTGCCTCCGGCGTGGAAGTACTGTTTGATGGTATCCAAAGCTACGTCCAAAACGGCGCACTGCTTCGGACTCAAGTTCTTTTCGACTTCCTTGGATATGTCCATGACTCCGCTCAATGCGTTCTTAACATCCTGTTTACCCGACATATGGTTGCGCAACAGACGCGACATATCCTCGATTTTTGTATTGGCAGCTAAATTTTTCGCATTGTCCGTCAAGCTCTTAAACATCATCTAAAATAAAACAATAATTATAATCAAATAATTAGCATTAGAGAAGGTTGCCAAATTTAGACCGGCGCCTAGGTTGAACCAGTATCTTAATTTGAAATGTATACAGAATTTACTATGGAACCTCGCTTAACGAACATAATCCGTTTCAAATTTTCCGGATTTTTACTCGTATAGTGTAACAATTTTCCACATATAAATTAATTTAATATACGATAATGCTTTCCATTTTACGAATCATTTTTCTTACCATTTATTTTGCTCGTTTAGCGAAATATTCGTTACGCGAGGTGCTCGTTAAGCGAGGTTCCACTGTAGTAACTATGACATCAGTTATTATATATCGTCACTTTGTTGGATTGGTCTAGTTGCAGGAAAAGTCTAGATGTCAGTTGTATTAACAATAACAATGAATATAAATAAGAGATTTTGAATGTTAAACTCCACTGCATTTTCTATTACTTAAAATATTTCCCATTGAAAATAACAATAAAGTGGTCTATGTTCGGCAACTCTGAAATACCCCATAATCCCATATTATATATTTACAGTTTTATCTGTCATTGGTGGTAACACGACTGTCTTCTCTAAGATCCTCATTACAATTTTCCAAAGTTCTTTCAGCAATCGTTTCAGTACAGTTTTCTCGCAAGATTGGGCGTACAGCGACAGCGAACCATCCAATAAGTCCATTAAAGGTCTTAAGACTTCATCCGCTTCCACCGCAACAGCATTTCTTTGAGCGGGTTGATTCAAAGTTCCCGGTTGTCCTCCTCCTTTTATTGCCAATAACAAGTCTCCTAATTCCTTTACGCTAGCCGTTATTCTTGGCTCAAGACTAAAATAGAGGGTACATGGAGAAAAAAACTTTTTTTTCGCGTAAATTAATTATCTCATTACCTGATTGCGAATTGTGTAGCTAAGTCATCTAAAGCCCCGTTCAGATTTTGTTGGAGCTCGTTTAAAATATTGGCCGCATCTTGTTCCAGCTTCTCACCTCCCATAGATTCAAACATCTTTTCCAATTGCACTCGGAGTTGTTGAATGTTATTCATCAAAATGCAAGCCTAAATATGTTTATGTTTAGAAGTGATTATTTAGATCTGAAGATATACTTACAAGTTTTTCTTCTTTTAAGTGTTCGGCGAAATCCTTTTTCACAATATCGGCGTAAGCAATGAGAACTTTAACAATGGTCTTGGCGAATCTCTTCATGTACCGTTTCCATATTTCAGGATCCGGGCATTCTAACTTAGATACAACATCGAAGCATTGCGTAAGCTGCGTGAATACATCGACCACGGAGTTGGAGAAGAGGACGTGCTCGCTGCTCTTTTGGAACTGTTTCCGGAACATTTTGTTTAGAATTGTTACGTGCCATTAATCTTGCGAGATTGAAATCACTTACCCCATCTTTTTTGTCTCGGTTGAAGGCACCGTGTAGATATTCTAATGAGACGTCATCGTTCTCGTTCAGCCACTGCATGACAAATGGTTCGAACCATGCAGGATAATCGGGTACAGCCCCTTTGTACGGAGGCACGTCCTTAACGTATTTAGTGTGTAACCATTTGACTTTGAAATGGAGATTCATATATGCTGAAGACTTGCATAATCTGTGTTGCTCGTGCTCTTCCAGTGCGTATTTCATGTCAACGGCGAACAAGCTCCACATCGTCGCCGCAGACAGCTGGAAAGAAGAGTAAAGAAAGGTAAAAAAAATCTGTAGACGATCGGGGATTAATCACCTGTCCGATGTTTAGCTCCTGTGGGAACTGATTTAGAACGGGACCGTAGCTATTCTTGTCTTCTTCAATGACTGAGGCAATCAGCGCGATCAATTTGTGCCAGAAATCGACGCTGTCCAGACGGGGACCGTGATCCTCCGGATCCCGTTTCGGCTCGTTAGGATCGCTCTGGAATTCCCTGTTGAATAGTTCGTAGGTGTTCTCGAAAAGGAACTGATACGTGGAGCGAAGGCAGGCTTTAACGCAATCCTTGACGACGGTGCTAGCACGAGGTGGACTGGACAACTCTTGGACTTTCATCCGGAAGAACGTGATGCTGGTTAACAGATCTACGGTGGACTTCAAATCCATGAGCTTCTCCTGACTGGAGGCGGGGAAATTGTTGCGGTACATCGACAGATCGATGCGCAGCGAATTGTGCAATTGATCGAGCAGCTTCACGAATTTCTCTTTCTACAAAATAATTGACGCAATTAATAGTTTTAGTTTTTTTTGTGTGTAAAACTGGTGATGTAATTACTCCAAAATTGGAAGCGGCGAATCTGTCACTCGCTGATACAGCTGATGAAGCTGTGGTGTGTGCGTAGTAAGCGTTTATATTTGCCAAGAGCATGCTCATCACAGCTGGTACTCCAGGACAAAGGTACTTCGTCGAGAGGCAGTGGAAATGTCTACGAATCCAGTCAATTAGTATCATGTTTATGCATTAGTTACTGGACTTACGTCATAGCTTGGTATATTGATTCTATCCCGTAACGCATGGCGAACTCGTCTACAATTTCTTCGGCAGCTTCATCGAAGTACACTTTCCAAGCATCATCGCCTTTAGCTTGTGGTAGGCTTACTATACCTGCGTTCTGTTCGCAGAGCGAATGGAACAAGTTCTCGTGAAGGCATGTGTACTGAACATGGTAAGGGGCAACCTTCTCCTCGCCTTTAATTTCAACGGAGATATGGAGACGGATAGCACCGGATACGGCAGACTTATCCGTGCGCTTCTCCAAATTGTACCACACATCCATCTCTCCGGATAACGTGCGAACCTAAAACGCAACCATCAATAAAAAAAAACCAAGGACTAAGAAACGCTATTCCTTATACCTCTATGATAGTTTGACCCAGAAAGTCGTCGGATTCTCGCGTCAGTTTTTGCCGCAGCTTGCTCTTCAGATCGTTATCCTCATCCCAGACGCGTACTTTGATGCGATCCGAGGAGTTGTGACACTCGCTGCAAACAACAATCGAAACTTTAGGCATTTTGATCCTTTGTAAAATCTAAAGCCTAAGAAAAAACACGTACAAGTAGAACTTCTCGTCCCAGACTGGGTTCAATTCCTGCGGCATCGTCCTCGTCCTCTTCTTCACTTTACCCACTTGCACCGTCACGTAGGGATCCGAGGTGCCGCTCTTATCCTTCGCGATCAATCCTTGCGCCGATTTCACTGGAAACAGCACACAAATCGGAACGCGATTCCCGGATAATCCGATTTGCCGAATTTATGAGGGCATAAATCAAGTCCCATCATCAAACTCGGAATACATAAAAAATAATAACAACAGCAAAATTCTGACAAGGAACCATACATTGATGACTTGATTTATGCCCCGGGCTTTAACAGCGATTTGTAATAATTTTTGTCGGTCGATACGATAAAAGCGGATTCTAAGTATATTCCATACTCACCAAAAGAGGCTCTACACACAGTAAATTAAATATGAGAAAAGCATGCACATAGAGAGGAGGACGAAGCAACACAGTATGCAACAACACACATGCTTTGCCGAAATCGTGACTGTTTCTTATAATATACAAGACGAAGCGCTAAAAAAACATAAACTGTAGAGACCCAGTTCAAAGCAGCAAGAAAAGCGTTCGTTTTGGTACACAAATCAAATCGAATGAAAATCAAAATCGAAACGAGAGAATAACAAAAAATATAAACGAAACGTGGAAACAAGATGGAAATATATGTAGAGAGAGAGAAAAAAAAAACGTGAGAAGCGCAGCGCGATTTTCCTGCGAAGTTCCTTCGTCGATTACGATCAAAAATAAAAGTAAAATTTAAAATGAAATTAATTAATAAGAAATTAGTTTTTAATGTAAGTGTCGATTGTCGAGAGTAGTGTTTAAAAGTGCGTCGTGTTTATCGTAGAAAAACAAATACAGACGTTCGTAAACCATTTAAAAGAGAAGTATTGATTTATTTCATTAGGTTTATAGTTGTTTTTTTTTGTTGGTTGTTGTTTAATTGGTTTCTCAGGTCAGGTCTGGAGCTACATTCTATGGGCAAAGCCTATTAACGATTACGTGATTTAAACAGATTTAATTGTTCTTCGTTTAGTGGTCTTATTAATTTCGGTACACACAAGCCTTTAATTAAAACCAAAAATTAATTTAAAATAAAATAATTAATCGTCGTTAACAGAAAATAAATTTAAACACCTCAAACGCACTTCGAAACGAACACGAAATTGAATTGAATTTGGGTAATTAGCTCATACCCCGTTTATTTTACCTTCTACGAGGGGTGGAAAGTGTATTTATGTTTTAACAGCGTAAAAGCATTAGCGGTAACGAAAATGTATACATTTTCTGCAATAGTGTTTTCCAAGGGGTGGATAGAGTTGTAGTAATAAATTGCGTGTTCGTTCGGTAAGTGAGCGCGTTATGGATGAAATAAAAGTAAAAATAAATAAAATGAAATACAAAATATTATGTGTTTTTTCTCTTCTTCGTTTCTGAGAACTCGCAGAGTAGCTTTTAGTGCGCAAGCCGAAACGGTTGGTAAGAAGTAATTGAAGAAGAAGTAAGAGAAGTGTAAGTAAAAATGAATCGAAAAAGTAAAACAAAACAAAAGATAGAGATAGAGAGATAGAATAAGATAAAGAAGTGCTTGCGTATGTAGAGTGGCTTTTCAAAAAAAGATCGAAAGAATAAACGATAGAGATATAGAGAAAGATAGAGATAGATGAAAAGAAGTTGTGAACCAAAAATTTTGGGTAATTTTTTGGACTTCAAAAAATAAAGGCACGCGCGTTTCAGGCGTGTTGCTCCTTCGTATCGTTTTTTTTTTTTCATACTTTTTGGAAATCGAATCCATAAAGTTAAAATGAGAATTTTGAAAAGTAAACAATATCTATGTATAGAGAGATAGATTGATCACAAATGGAATCGTGAAGATGTGATAATAATAATAGAGAATAAAAGAGATATCAAATGGATAAGTGGTCGGTAAAAATTCCCCCGATAGAATGCAGCTGGCAATACCTGTGATTGCAATCTTGCACGACCACTTGGATGTGCCTTCGATTGTCATCTCTTCGGCCTGCTCGATTGAATCAATGTGTGTGTCTGGGTCCACTGAAAATGTCGTTCTGCGCGGCAACCGGGAACCGGAAACACAAGAATGAACAAACACCGATAACAAAACTAAAGGAATCAAACGGCAATCATTCAAGGTGAAGTCATGTTCCTCTTAAAGAAAACAATAAAGAGGATAGAAAGATAGAGTAAAAGTACATGAAAGAAAAAAAAAGTTAAAAATCAAACAGAGCTGGTGGACCAAAACAATCGGGATTAGTCGTGGAAGGGAGACGTTCGTCATCGTGGATTCCGGATTATCTTTGTGCGCTATGCGATCTTCAATGAACCTTCAATCTAACATAATATATTAAGATTCGTTTCTAAATGCATATTCTTTAAAAGTAACGAAATCTTTACATATTATTTTTTCTTCGTATTAAGAAATTCAGGATAACAAATCAATTTTAATTTCCTCTTAAATTAACGAAATTATTAAGGAAACACGAATTTTAAATTAAAGGTAATACTAATAAGAATTATATTTTCTTATATAATACAAACCAGGAATTTCCATCATAATATAATGAAAATTCTTTGGTCGAAAGGACTAATAATTTTTTTAATTATTTACACTAAAAATATTGTAAATGATTTTACATTAATCTTAAAGTATTTTCTGATATTTTTTATATGTTATCCTATATAATTTTAATAACATGTAATAGATGGTAATTACATATTATTATAATGCCTCGAGGATGATCCTAAATAATAATCTAATCTACATAATTACTCTTAGATCATAATAGTAAGTATAAATATTTGTCTTAAAATTTAATTGAAAACATTAAAACTCCATCAAAATTGTCATGCTTATGCCTTACTTATAATTCTTTAATGTAATTAGTACATGGAAAATATTATTTTGATGATGTTAATATAATGATTTAGAAGAAAAGTAAATTGTATAAATATTTAACCACCTTTATAAAAGTTTATTTTCATTACTTCAAAAATGAAACTATTTTTGAAGAAAATATTTACTAAAAAATAAGAAAACTCTATCTTTATAAAATTTATGAAGATTGAATGCTACAATGAAATCTTTAATAAAATAAATTGCAAAAATCTCCGTTCAATAGATGAATTTAATAGTGCATTTTAAACGTGTAAAAATATTAATCTGCATCGATTATTATCGCTAGAGTCATAAAACGTAATTGCTTATGTCATATTTCAAACGCAATCTTAAGATATTAATCTCACACGATTTACTCTCAGTAATATAATTACTTATGGGAAATGAAAGATGATATTTATGGCTTAATTTTACTTGAGAGAAAATAAAAACGTATTACATATGTTTTTAAATATTTACTTTATATTAAAAGATATAATTGAATTAATTAATTTGTATTTGCCACCTTAAGAAAGTTATGGGTCTTGATACCAATTAGTTTTACTATTTGAGAGCCCTTAATAATTTTTTGCATGGGCCCACTATTACATTGCGGGGTTTGGTGTTATTGCAGTTTCGCCACTTTTGACGTGCCTTAAATGTTCCATATTATATAAGTTATTATTACAATTTTGTCTTGGATTTTCATTTACGACATTTTTATCATCAAAAAATGTATCGTCAATGTTAAACAATTATGATTAAAGCATTTATATTACATTTTAATTCATGATTTGTTGTATACAAATACAATACAAATTTTGAAAAAGAAGTTATTGTAAATAATTTGTAACTAAAACATTCACAGTGAACTTCAATATGAACATGTTAAAATAAAGTTTTGAATCTACTGAAGTGGGATCACTTTTCTTGTATTGAGTGCACATCGGAATGGAAGTTTAGATGTTTGATAGCGAGTCTAATTGATGAACTCGTGTGTTCTGAATTCAATTGATCCCGCCACCCCCGGCTTTCCTATACCTGTTACGTGATCCAATAAAGCGTCCATTTAAAACTACTAACTAAATCAATGTGCATCGTAAGTTAAGCAACTTGTAAAGCAGACCACTCGCAATCAGCTAAATTGATTACACATCGATCGCACCACGATATTGTTATTATTATCATCACATTGCATGATCATTATGAAAGGCTTCAATCGAGATTGCACAGCTCAGCACACACAAATATGTATTGATTTCCGGTGGAAGGGAAACGGGAAACAGCGATAGAATGATACGTATTTGTCACAACATAAATGTATAGAAAAAAAAGAAGAAATAAACGAACGGAAAAACAAATTGTAGCAGAAAGCATAAATATGTAAAAAGAGAGAAAATAAAAGAATTATATAGAACAGAACATTCAACATTCATTTCATGGACCTGAAATTTTTGTTTACAGACATTTACCATGTATGCCAAAACTGTACCAACTTTACTCAACCTGTTTAAAATTGATTTTTTTTTCTCTTAAATATATTAAATGTTGGTTAGAGTGGATACAATGTTGGTAATACAGAGTCCAGCACCTAAAATACACCGAACAGCACATAATCAGTCAAAGAAATCAAGAAAAAATGGATCTGTACAAGAGGTGAAAAATAATAATGAGGGAAATGGAAGAGGGAATGTAACATTAATACACAACGTTTCCTTGCACAAAAGTCGACATCGACCCTAAAAAAATGTACACAGAATGTCTGCTTTCATTTTTTTTGTTGTTGTAAATAAAATTGCACCGGCTGCACTGGCGGACAAACCTGTGATGGCTATTTTAGCTGACCACTTGGAAGTGCCATCAAGGACAGATTGTTTCACCGCTTTCATATGACCAGCATGGCTCTTGTCCTCCACGCTGAATACGTCCCTGTATGTTTTCAATCAATATTAAATAAGATCAAACAGTTAGAGCTGCACGAGTTTTGATAAAGATAAGATACAAAGTTTAGAAAAGAAAAATAAAATAAATATATAAAAAGAATATATACGCATAAGTCAAGTAGAGTATAAATCATGATTAGATTTGAGTTTGGATGTGCTCTTTTTCAGTTGTATGCCATACCTTATCAGCTCGAAGATTTCGGGTTTCTCACGTTCGCGTTGCTTCATCCTATCCTTCATGGCTGTGATGATGCTATTGGCTTTATCCTCGGCGCCGTGCTTCGAACTCTTCTCGGCAGCTCCTGAAATTCGAATCTGATTATGATTTCATTCCTTACATTTGTTCCTCTGTTGAAATGCACGTACTTCTTAATACGTTTAACTTCAAAACTAAATTAAGAAGAAAAATAAATGTTGCAAAATCTTCATTTGCTCTCTTACTGAAATAAATATCAGTTAAGAAAATAAAATGTTTTAATTTTATAGAAAAATAATGCAGCAGGAAAATTTACTATAATTATATTTAAACAAATGTAAATAACATTTTGAAAAATGTAGTAACCTTTTTTATTTGTATTTAAAAAAAATAATGTTCAGGATTAGTTTTGCGCATATTGTCAATTTTTGTGAGTTATCAGAGTTAGTTTACTGGACAATGAAGTTTATGAAATTAATTGAATGTATCAATCAATTATTATTTTTATTCGCTTTTTTTTTTAATAAAATCATCATTTCATATTTAAAATATATGAAGGAACAATCCATTACATATAAAAGTTAATTTACTAATAAAGATTTGTAAAGAAATATATCAATATAAATATGTTTGAAACTTAATTTCAAAATTTCAGAAAAAACTATTTGTAATTTCTATATTGAACATTAGTTTATGTTCATCCAATATTTTAATCCGATGTACTGTATATTAAAAAGCAATTATGACATAAATTAATTAACATTGTGAAGAGACAAAACGTAAAGTAATTAGGTAATAATTTGTACAAATATATTAAGTTAATTGAAATTCTTGTTTTGTTTAAATGAAATGGAGTTATATTGTGTTAGGTGAAATGTTGTGAAAACATAAAGATATTTGGTAAATGTTAGTTAGAAGTGGATGGAATTAGATACCGAGGGTGAAATTAGTTCGAGGGAATGGAAACCGAACCCAATCGATCCGAGATTCAGGAGGAAGGCTCATTATTATTCAATTGTACTACTGACTCCCACCGTAATGGAAGAATGTAATATTGTGTTTGAGGGTATATGTGTGTGTGTTCGTTGCGTAATAGAAATCGGATCGGAGCCGATATATCGATCGTAAACTTACTTTGCAAGCAATCGGCGTTGAGGAGGTCCTTGCACTTCTCGTGACACTTGACCCCGCACTCGGTGCAACGCACCCCCTGCCTGGCGATACCCCAGAGGAGTCCTTCGCACTCGTAACAGTAGGTCGGAGAGGTGGCCGTCCATAAAATGAAATTGTGTGGGGTCGTGCTACTTATTGGATAGATGAGAGCCTGCAGAGTCTTCTTGTAGACGTGCATCTTCTACAAAAGAGAAGCGGCCGAACGCATTGGCGACACCAACCGATTAAAGAGAAGCAAAACGTAAACAAGACAAAACGAAACGTAAAATAAAAACGTATAAAATAGAAAGTAACAAAAAGTGTCAAATAATAAGAAAAATAAAACCTAATTATCTAAACCTTAGAGGAGAAAACAGTAACGAACGTTCCCAAAAGAATAATACCAAAAAACAAAACAATAAATGCGCACTATGTCTGGTCCACTAAGTTAACAAAAGCCATACAATCAAGAAAGAACAGTAAACAGCGAAAAAAAGTAATGCACTTTCCACGCAGACCAAAATATTTATTAAATATATATATATTACACAACAATCAAACAACCATCATCAGCTAAAACAATCAAAATGCAGACACACACACATACATAAAAGATTACATAAAAGAATAAACTAACAAAAAAAGTAATCAACGTATTTCTGCATTACTTTTGATGCTGCTCGCTCTTTCTTTCTTGATCTCCACAGACATTTCAATAACTCGAGAAACGTCTTTAACCAAAACTTCAAAGCCCGTATACTCTTTAACATACGTTCATTACTTTCTTCCCTATCGCTTTTTCTATAAATTAATTAGTTCAAAAAAAATTAATGAATTAAAACATTCCCATTGTGCCAAAAAAAGTATATAAAAAAAACTAAATCCGCTCCTCCCTAGAAGAGGAGCTGAGTATTATTCGAGTTGTAAGTATTCGGAAAATTGAACAAACAAACGTAACGAAAATTAAACAGGAAAGTATAATATAAACAGTGTGTGGGCGGTGATTTATCAAGAAAATTTGATAAATAGTTGCATTTACATATATATATTTAGAGAATTCTTCAAAAAATATTATTTTTGAAAAAAAATAAATGTAATTTCAAAATAAAAATTTTATAGGAAATAAAAATTACAACAATTTCCGAAGCCAGTTTATGTTCAATTTTTTTTTAGTATTAACAATAACAGAAGCATTAAATTTTCTACGCGCAAACAAACCTCACTATTTCATAGTCGTAACTCAAACACAAAACTCAATGCAAGTAGCAATGCAGTAAACAGAAAATAAATAAATAACTAAAATTTGTATTATGTAAGTGTTCGATTCAACAGCGTTATATATATATATATTACATGTGTTCTTATCGGGCGGCGTTTTTCAAAAAAAAAATCTTACCACTTTTCATATTCGCTATTCAATATATTATATAATAGTAATACAATAATAAAACAGTTTATCATATAATTATTGTTTGGATTTTTTAACAAAACTATATTAATTGTAGTAATTATAAATGGTATTTTGTAAAGAAAACCATCATTATAATAATTATTTTATTGATATGTTTAGATCATGGTAGTAAACAATTATTGTAATTATAATCTACTTATAGCACTTTTTCGTCCCTAAATTAGTGTTATTTGTTTGGTGCCAGGTGTAGGTTAGTAAATTATATGTCATTAAATGTGTACTATTTTTGTATCCTTATTTAGCTCAATGAAACATAAAATATTATTATTCTTATGTAATTACATAATTTATAAAAAAAAAATAATTTATTTTATGCAATAGCAGAATATGGTTGTGTAAGACTTGAGCATAATCCAAAGATAATACTAAAATATTGAAAAGAAAATACACTATACCTCGCATAGTCCGAATAATGGATTCAGGAATGTTTGAAACCGGACTAAAATTTAAATTTACTTTATTTTGAAATTTATAAATTGGACTATAGTGAATCCGGACTGACCGAACCCTATGTGAGATATAGTTATATAATGATGATTTTCAATACGTTTTCATTTATTGAAAATATGAGTTAATGCATTTTTTATACTTGGGGTACATATATATGCTAGACTCTTTTCTCGTATTTTAGGGTTGCTCGTTTGTAAGCAAATCTCGCAGAACTTATGTCATATCTCCAACTCCTATCTGACTATCTACTTACTATGCGTCCCTTCTTCTGTATGCTCACTACAAATTTCATTACTTAACCTTATGACTATCCCAACATTTTACCCTTGACACTGAATATTTATTTCAATGGATTCTATCCATTTTAGACTTCAATAAAACACTTATTTTCTATATTAATATCTAAAATGTCAATAAATTTAATATACCTATTCGTCCAAATAACATTTATGCATTTATATTTTGAATGCACTTTATTTTATAGAAATGCACATATATAGTGCAACGGTTGAAGTATACTGTCATACCTCGATTAACGAATATAATGCATTTTACAAAATTAGTTCCTTCGTTTTCAGAAGAAAAAATATTTTTGCCAGAATCAATTTATTAAAATAGTCCATAGAAAAGCTTTGCTATCAGATGTAAGACTTATTAATATTAATTTTTGGTCAATCCTAATTTTATTAGTAAGTTTACGTTAAATGAAAAAAAGTATACTTATTGGAGAGATATTATATAGAAAGTAAAAAACAAGTATATTAAACGGAAATTGATAAATTTATATACTTTATTTCTAACCGATTATATTCGATTCATATTCCAGTTCACCGATTATTAGGTCTTTCAGGTTTTTGTGTCCATTCAGAGTCGCGTTATCTGCGAATAGCAAGCGATTTAACCTTTAACCTTTCTATATAAAAACAAATATAATGTATTTATTCAGTCGAGCTAAAAGACAATCAACATCGATTAAATTAACAATGAAATATCATATTCACTGTTGAACTGAATTTATTTTCTGTCTATTCATTATTTTGTTCGTTTAATTGCAATTACTGACGTTATGAATATTTCTTTTGAAAAATATATTTTTAAATGTATAATGTATGTTTTAAATGTATAAAATAATTGCATTTATCAATTTTACGTTTCAATTCTACATGTAATAGCTTGATTTTTTTTTTTGAAAAGTATATTTTTAAAACAAATGTATAAAATAATTGCATTTATCAATTTTATATGCGTTTCAATTCTACATGTAACAGAGTTTGATGTAGAAAATTTCATGAATTTTTAAATTAAAATAACAGATTTAGTTTTTGATAGGATATTTGACAATTTCAACAGAAGATTTTACGACATTTTTAAATTTGTATTTAAGTTGTGATAATTTCACAATAATTTTATGAAAAGTATATTTTGTCACAAATATATAAAATAGTTGTATTTATTAAATGCTTGATATAGAAAATTTCATACCTAAGTATGTATGTTATTAATTATTTATTTGTAAGTGGAATTTGTTTCTTCTCGTAAGTATAATTAATATTCATTATCTCAAATATTTTAATAAAGTATTTGAATTAATTTAACCATTTGATAGTGCATTGTACCACCTTTTTAACATGCTTAGTTGGGCGGTGGTACGTGCATTGTTCCACCCTTTTAAACTTGCCAAGCTGGGCGGTGGAACGTGCATTGTTCTACTTTTGTAATTGTATCTTAATTTTCTAGAAAATTATTTTAGTTTTTAATATTGTATTAGGTTTTATTTTGTAAGTTTTTATTATTATTATTGCAATAAATGTTATTATTATATTATTAGTATTATTATAATTTAGTATAAAAAAATATTTTTATTACGTTGACTAAATAGAAGATGTGATGAATAATTTCAAAGATATTTGTTCGTAAATGTGTAATGCAACTTCAGTAACTTCTGACATGAATCAAATAAAAAAAAATGTAGAGTTCTTGTTTCCAAGTGGATTCATTATTGAAGATGCAATTTGTAAAACTAAATATAATTGAATTAGCGATACGGTAAGTGTCGGAAAACTAGTTTTAGAAATCCAGTCAGGGATGCGACGTGAAACATTTAACGAGGGCGCAAATTACCAGCGAAATATTTAATTGTGCCGCCCCCAATTCGGGCCGCTTCAATAGTTTAAAACCCGGGGTCGTTGACAGCAACATCCGAGAGGCGGCAATTATAAAAGATAAAAGAATAAAACTGCCCTTTAACTCACAACCCCTTAAATTTATTGAAAAATACCACCCAATAATGTTCGTGTTTGAGTTCGCGTCAAGTTTGCGAATGTTTATGTTGAAATTGTGTGTATTTTGCACTAAAGCTGATTATATAATATTAGATATCAAAAATAAAATATGTTCTAGAAAAATCAAAAAGTTCAAGTGTGATGATTATATCTATCAAAATATCTTGCCTTCTTTGAAACGAAAATAAAATCTAGTCATCTAATTGTAGATTGTAAAAAAATCAAAAAAAAAAAACAAAAAAATTTAAAAAAAAATAATAAAGTCTATAAATAAACCTTTTCTGCTTTTGGTATTTATTTATATGTTATATTAAAAAAAATAAACTACGGTTCTGTCAAGCTCTACGCCTTAATTTTGTCTTGAATTCTTTTGTAATTGTTTTTACCCTTACCAATGCAAGCTGTAAAGTATTATATCAATAAATAATGGTATTCCAATAAATCGTCGTTGATAATGTTTCTTAATAATATTATTACTATAAATATTTTGCAAATTAATCGTCGTGAAATTAAGTCGCTAAACGAATCAATGCGTCATCATCATCATCGAAATTCACGTAATTTAATGCAATTGTTTCCTTCCGTTTCCGAAGGACGAAAAGCCCAATTTACACTATAATAAACGGACGCACCCTTGAAATTAGCTTTTATTATCGATGCGGAAAATCGCACGGAAAACACACAAAGAAATAGGGGAGGGACAAAAGTCAAATACATGACGTCGTTTATAGCATTCTATAACATGTTCTATTATATTTTTTTTTTCGTTATCTCTTTGGGGCTTCTTCGTTCATTTCCGCACCAAAAAAAAAGAAGAAGGTAACACGAAACGAGAATGAATTGCTATTTTAGGGCCGGGATGATTGATACATATTAATTTCCTTCGTTTATTTTTTGTTTGCGCCAAGTACACACTACTCACCAATTCTTCATCATTTAGCGTTGCTCTGGGGACTGCTGATGTTAAACCTGCGTTCCTCTTGGTTGCAGCCATAGTCTGAACAAAATTAAACCATTTATTAGCATCACAATTTCATATCGAAAAGACTTTAATTTGAAGAAAAAAAAAGTTATGTAACACAACATAAAATTGGATCTGTAAATTCTTAAAGCCACTAGTAAATTTCAATCTAATAAGTTTCACTAAATCTTATACCCTAAACCTACATTTGCGCAATTTGTATTTGGATTAAAGGATTAGAAATGAAGTTGCGGCAAATGAGACTTGGAGTTACTAATACAAAAAGGCTGATAATTATTTATAACTATTGTTAATCTTAAATGAAAAAAATATACACCAATTAAATCTTATAGTTTTCCACGTTTTTTTTATAGAAATAAATAAGTAAAGTAAGTAAAATTGAACAACTAATTCAGTATAAAAAGGTTTATTGACCTATGAAATCCCTTGAATCTCATGAAACCAACCACAACCGATGAGACAATCATATGCATACAAAAAAATACTATTGAATGCAAAATTACACATGAAGCAAAATCTAATAGTATTCATTACTTATTAAAGAAATAAATAAGTAAAGTATATAAAGAGAACAACTAATTTAGTATAAAAAGATTTATTTTCGTATCGGTACGAGAAATCCTTTGAATCTCATGAGACCAACCACAACTGATGAGACAGAATACATGGGTCGACCAGTCCCATTCTTTTCACTTACCTGTAACTTGGACTATACTTATACTTTGTTCAACATGTGTAAAGTCTTCTATACACGTTTTATCTACTTTCCATAAATCTTTGTAACAACGAATTTTGTCAGAGTTACATTAGTCTAAATCTTGTTTAAAAATGTAATTTTTTAATGGATCTTTCTTTCTAAAAATATATTAATTAATATTTATTTCTTATTTTCATCCTTTCTCAGAAAATATTTATGTCTTTCTTTATATATATTACGTTAAAAGTACATAATCGGTAAATGTATTATTTTACCGTAACATATATACATACAATAAATGTTACTGGATTTAAAAAAGTTTTATATCTATAATTACTTTTAGGTACTTTAAATATTTAAATATCTTGAAATAAATAATGATTTCACATTAAATTTAAACATTTTTTAGAATAATTGAAATTTATTAAAAACCATGGATTAAATATCTTTGTGTATATTTTCGAAACAAAATAAATTATAAGCCTTTTTCAATTCAATGTTTCATTAAACATCGTGGTTTATCGGATTTAGTAAATAAAACATCGATATTAAAAAAAAACAGCAACGATCAAATCCATTAAGCAAATTGCTTTTCTACATCAAAAAATGAAACAAATACAAAATAAATAGTACAATAGTTAAAAATGTGGTGCATTTGTGCAGAGTAGATCTATTCTAAATTATTTCTTTTTTTCCATCCTGCAACGAGGTTGACATACGTATGTATTACGTATGAACACAATTTCCATACATGGACGAGAATGATATTGTGCTCATCCTTCGTGAAGCTCGAAGCTGAAGATTCAATTCGAAACTACCCAAAAATAAAAACTTACCTTTGGATAAACAACTCTAGAAATAAATTTGTTTGAAAGCGTTAGTACTAAAGCATGCAGACGACAACCATGCAAATACAAGTGGTGAGCGTGAGAAAGAAGTAAGAAAAGATGCAGTAGATGAGTAGAAGAAAAAAGTGGTAGACATAGAAAGAAAGTCGAAGAAAGAAGTACGTTCAACGGAAATTGAATTATATAAATGTAATACGTCGAGAAAGGAGATTCTCTGAGGAATATATTTGTTGTGATGTAATCACATTGCAACAAAAACATCTTGAAAGTATAATTATTTTTATTAAAATTTACTCAAATAATTAATTAACTTTAATAATTATTTTAGTATTTAAATAATTTTAATGAATTCAAATCATTTATTGAAAATTAATTATTCATATGAACTGAAAATTTTAAAAACAAAAGTGTAAATTGCAGACGCAGCTGAATGTAAAATTGATTAATGTTGAAAAAAAAAATAATAATTTGCATTTCATAAATTGGTGAACTGTGAAACTGCGCTGCATATTGATTATATTTTGGTTATTATTCCATTATCAAAAATACATTATTCATCTCTTTTTTTTGTAGTTTTCGTAAATCTGGATTTCTAAACTAATATTATTTCATCAATATTAATATTTAATTTTGTCAATCGAAATAAAAATAATGAATATAAAACAAGATTATGGAATAATGAACTGTTCTACTTCAACGTATTTACCAAAAGTACATTATTTATTTTAATTTAATCAAAATGTCAAAAATTTTAGACTTAAAAAGCTCATATTTTTTTACTGAATTAACATCTTGATACATAATTTTACTTTAGAATTTCTTATATGCACTTTTATATTGTGGTATTTGTTAAACAAATTGAAATTGTCTTTTTAATTAAAAATGTAATGAATTTCATAGAGTGTAATAAACTTATGTTTATCTCCTTTTATGAGAATAATGTAATAAGTATTGGAAATATTATAATCGTATATTTTCTATTATTGTATATGAATTGTAATTATTAAAATAAATATCGCCTAGTTATACAAATTTGTATGATAATAAAATCATTTCTATGAATGATAGTGATTATGCAATATTAAATTATCGTGTAATTGGGTTTTTCTAGAAAATCATTGTGGTGTTTAGAAACAGCTAAAAATATATGAATAGATACTATAACTATTTAATCAAGACGAGTTTGTCAACAAGGGATAAAAATGATAATAAAGATAAAATAAACAAAGTTATATTCCACAAGTTTCCAAAAATATCCACGGCGTAGTTTCCTCTAATAAGCTGACCGAAATCTATGTTCTTATTAACAAAACCTATGAACTAATTTAATAAAAAAAAATAGTCGATTCGTGTTGCTCTAAGTATAATCAATAACTGCCAATCATCTACAAATGCTGGGTTTGAATTCCACTTGATCCTTTATATGTATTTTTAGATCGAAACGAATTGCCCAATTTAAACGAAAACGATAAAAATTAGCTAGTGCATCAATAAATATAAATAAATGTAAAAATAATTAACCACTAAAAATTTTGTCGGCAATTTTCCAAACAAATAATAATAATAACTAAAACGGTGCTAACAATCGATGGATTGTATGTATATAAATATATAAACAGAACAGTTCGTAAACCATTGTAAAGTAAAGAAATTAGAAGTTTTGCTGGCAATACCTTGAGCACCTGGAGATTGGAAGCGGCGCAGGGTGCAAACCAGTTTCAAAAACAGAGAAAACAACAAAATACGCACACGTTAGTCAGTTCAAAATAATAATAATAATAAAAAATAATAGAAGAGAGGTTGTTGCATTTCCATAGTTCTTTAGCTGATTTGCATATAACAACAAAGTAACAACAATAACAAATACATGATGAAAAGAGATTCAAAAGAGAGGGGGGATATTAGAGGGGGACACATAAACTAAGTCACATTGAAACAACGAGAGCACATTACATTTAGAACACATATTTCATCGGGGACACCGATGGACGGATGCGTTACGGATCGGATGCCGAATATCCTGCAAATCTGGATTTATGGGGTCACATTAACAAGGAATTAAATGCCCCTACGCCAACCTCAATAACTTAATAAACACGGGGCTTTATGAAGTAGGAATGGATGGATTTATTACAAAGCAAACCCCGGAGGCGGCGGTCACTAATCCAACCCGAAGGCCGTTCCATTATATCACATTACACGGGTAAAACAACTGAAGGCACTTTATTCGACAAGATCCACGACGCATCCGTTCCCTTTGAAGGAAACAGAACAAAAATATAATAATAATAACATCAAACCTTCGGGATAAGTGGTTATTAATTAGATCTAAAGGATTGATGGGATATGGGAGATGTTCTTACAGATTTATATATATATATTTTTTTGTGGTTAGCTGAAATGATCTTAAGGAATATTAATCGAGCGTGTAGATGGTGAAGGGCTGTTCTGTACTCACCAAATCTGAGACCAGAGGAATCGATTTCCTCCTGGGTCGAATGTCGGGCATACTGTCGATGTTACTGTAAAACGGATTATCTCCGGGATGCCTGAAATCAAACGAAAGCCATATTAAAACTTGAACAGAGGAACGTAAATAATATCTTAAATAAATTTGCCACGCGGGAAGTTTTGGAGGAAGGTCTTTGGCTTCTATGGTATTTTCTGTGTTACTTGAGGCTATTCCGTTAACTTTGCTCTGTACAATGAAACTTTCCCATTCCGATGTATTGCATTTCCTGTTACACACTGGACATTTGTTAAGTCCAAATAATATATCTTTGTTCTGATGCTTTCGTGGATCTTTGGGGTCATGATCCACCAAAGCACAACTTCAGAGGCTATATATACCAATATAGTCTTCATAAAAAAAATCGTTTTCAAATAAACAAAAAATGTAAATAATTGTTGATAAATGTAAATGTTGAATAATAAAAATAAAAAATTTCTAAACAAACTGAAATTCAGCAAAATAAAAACTACATACAATTATTGTATTATTTATAATTTCCATGATATAATTATTTATTTCTGTATGTATTTAGGATTCTCGATAAGTCCGGTTTCAAACAGTTCTTTATCCTGACTATGCAAGGTATTGCTGTAATAAATTGTAAAAATGACTCGCTTAACGAAGGACGTTTCACATAACGAGTGACGAGGAAAGGAGAAGTCTCAGATTGTGGGACTGCTACATCATTTTTAAAACTTGTGTTCAAATATTATTTGTATTTTTACAAGAATAAGTTTTATAAATTAGAAAACTATTTTATTCTATATCATTATAATTACCAGTAAATTTTAAAGACATACACTAATAATTTCTTTAAAATATTTAATGATATTCGATAATAATTACCTATAAAAATGTAACTTGTGTTTTCCCTATCAGCTCTGTTTCTTATTTTTTTTAACTATTTTTTTAATAAATTTTGCTTTGTTTACTATTTGAAGATAATTCTTTAAAAAATGAAATAATTATGTAATAAAACTGTTTAATATGATTATGTAAATCTTAATAAATACACAATTCAAACAACTATATTTTTATATAGTTTTAAATTAAGATTAATAAAAAGTCTTCAAACTAAATCAAAATTAAATTTTATAAAATGTTTAAGCAAATTTTAATTACATGTACATTTTTAGTATTCCACTAAAATGAAATTAGTTACCTCAATCTGGAAATTACGAAATTCTTTTAAATTAATTAGAAATTGCGATTATATCTAATGAAAAATGTTGAAACTAAAAAAATAGTTAAAGTAATTAAAATGAAACTGTTTAGCATGTCTATCTTGATCTTAATTATATATACTATACCATTGCCATATTAATAAATTAAATTAACTTTTAGTTACAACAATACATAAATAATAAAATTTATTTTAATAGTTATATATTAATGTTATATCTATATTTAATTAATGTTGTTGGAATAATAAAATATATGGACCACTAATTGTAATACACTAATTATAAATAGTCAAAAACTTTTGTATTAGTTATATTTTTATTTGCTTATGTTTAACCGTTTTAATAAATATTTGTATTGTTTATTAATTTTATAAGGAAAAATGTACTAACTATATTATAAGGATAAGCAAGATTTTACAAAAAAATACATATTGAATAACTTCAATATTATACAACAAGTATAATTGAAAATCGAGTAGAAAAAAATAGATGATACTGCTCTTTGTTTTATTCTCTGAAGATTGAGTACGAGAGTACATGTTGAAGTAGATAAAAAATGAAAGGAAAAACGGTTAGAAGCTTTTAAACTAATGCCCGAGTGAATGTGGCAGATTTGTGCTGCAGGGAGTTTGGAAGATCAGAAGGACATGTTGGCGTAGCTAACGTGATGCCTTTTGGAAGCAAAGGAAAAGGCTCGAAACAAAGGATCTCAGATACACGGATGGAGTTGATTTCTTTTGCATACGAATGAGCCGTATTGGAAAACTTGGAAACCGTGTATATTGTAAATTAAATCCCTGAACAAATTAGGAGTGGAATAAAATATCATAAAAATAAAATACAACGTAAACAACACACAAAAAACAAACTTAATTTCCCCAAAGAATTGCATCATTCTGTCCGTAAATTTTTAAAATACTTTCATTTGAATGGAGATAAAAAAATCTCAATGGAATAATAAAATATCATCTCTAACTAAAGTATTATATCAAAATAATATTTTCTGTTCTAAGTCGATATGATTTTTTTTTATAAAATCATATCTTTCTTTTTGCTAAAAATAAATATTTAAAAAAATATAAAGTACTGGATACTAAACTCGAAACAACGAAACATTCGTTTAGAATAATTTTAAAAATATTTATTTTTATTCATTTTAATTTTTTTTTTTACATAAATTAAAATAAACATTATTGACAAAGTACATGAATTTTATTCAAAATATGTAACTTTTTGTAAGAAGTAAAATGCCATTTAATGTATATAATTTAGATAAGAAAAAAAAATCAATGAATGATTGCTATTTGTTCTTTTGTGATTAATTAAATTTTGTAATGAAACAAACAAATCTTAAAGCAATAAATAACTTTACCCATCAGTCCGACGTGATTAATTGCGCTTGGATTACGAAAATATATACCGTTAAGACATCGTGAAAGAATGTTACAAAGGAAATTCAATAAAATTCATTGAAATAAAATTTTACCGTCCATTCATATCAAATTATATCAATAGAGTTTGAAGTTGAGTTTATCATTTATCAGTTTTGACAGACGGTATAAATGTGTTTTTAAATCGAATAACATAAATATTTGTATAATAATGGAAACTGTTGCATCATTTATCAATTGAGTCTACAAAACTTGTAATTTTGATTGAATATAAGACACATTTTTTATCGTATATATATAAATTAGGGCGACTAATAGCCGAATGGTTAACTCGCCCTACTCACGATCGATGAACAATGACAGTGTTTAGGATAGCAGCAGATTCACAGTGAAAGGAAATAGTGGAATCGCAGAGCAGAGCAATATACTACTGAAGGTAACCTACAAGACGACAGCCAACCTACAAATTAAAAATCATCATAATGGTAAGTATCCTACCTAATGTCAACCGCGATCTTAAATTTACTCAATGTTCACATTGATGAACAGATGTGAATAAAATTATACGACATAAAAAAAAAATATAAATTCGTTCCAAGTATAAATGTATGTTGCAATTATTTCTTATCCTATAACTTAAGTACGTTTTATACAATAGTGTATCTTCTATATTGGTGCGTCTCATATATTTGATTGGTATTTAAAATACGGTTTTTGAATAGCCTAGACTTAAAATATAAAAAACTGAAATTAGTTGTAAGGTTTTAATTTAGGAAAATTTTTAGTTAATTTACAAAATCCACAGAACGTATAAATAAACATGACTACCATATTTCTTGCATAGCTTGATTAAGATTTTGGACAAATATTATCAAGATTGTATCCAAATTATTAAATTGAAGATACGATGATGAAAAGAAAACCAAATCACAGCTTGCTTTATTAAATCAATTCATAAATATCTTCAATAACCTGAAGATGTAAATTTAAAGGGTACAAAGAGAAGAACGAATAATTTGGTTCATTATTTATGCTCTAAAGACGATTAAACCCAACTTTCTATATAGTGAGAGTATTTTATATTTTTTTTTATATAAATTTAAAAATTATAAAAGTACCTTTTCTCTATTCTGTGTGAAAATTAGTAAAAAAAAATAAGATTCCAAAACTCGATATCGTCACTCGTTATACGAAACGTCACTCGTTAAGTCGTAATATTTTGTAAATCAATGGGCATTATACATAAAAAATACGGTAATCGATATATGTGAAGTCTGAGATCATAAGATTTAAAAATACGTTGCGATCTTACACAACAGATCTTATTTGTTGTTAATAATGACTTATATAATTTTATGATTTTTATAATAAATTAATTAAATGTTATAATAAATATTGGTTAAAATCCGAATTGTTCAATTCGGATTTTAACAAATACTAATAGATATATTAATGTACTCACCCATTTCCTCTGCCTGCAGAGTCTCCACCCAGGCCGGTTCCATTCTAAAAAAAAAAACAAAAAGCAAAATGAAAAATAGACAATCAAAACAATTTATTGAACAACAATGACACAATCAACAATAAACAATTACAAAATATATTACAATTCATCACACCAACAAAAAAATATCACTAAACAATAACAATAATAGTAATAATAATAACATCATAGTAAGAATAACAGTATTGTTTCATCGGGTGAAATAGCGTCACAATTAGTTATTATCTCAGCACAAAATTTGTTTCAATTGGTATTGTATAATATATAGATTTGTATATAACCATTCATTTCATTTTTGTCATTTATTTAAATCTGTTCCAAAAAAGCTTCTTCATCTAAAAACCCTTGTATAAGCGTACACAATTAGTATACAATACTGCTAAGTACATCAATACAGACTAGTGTGAAATTAGTATGCCAAGTACACTTGCTACAAATTCCGATGGTCTCGTGGTGTAGTGGTGCTGGCATAAAATGGAATCGCTGTTTATATTAAAACGCCATCATACCAGGAACTTCGCTAAATATACAAATAACCCGATTGGAAACTTTTGTCAACCAAATTATGGACAAAATTTGTTAATCTGCTCGTGAAAGCGATTCCACTTTGCTGCTCAAACACTTTCCAAACAACAAAGCCAATTACAATTTTTCACATTGTGCAAACGCGTTAACCTCTCTTTTGTTTTTCATTTGTTCGCAAGACTGAAGCGAAATAGAATTCATGTTGTTCGATAGAAAGTTAACATAGTTTAAATGTAATTTTATCAATACTCTATTCATTCTTAATATTTACGTTTGACTTTTAGCCCTTCATTTTATTATACTTATTTATTTTTCGTATTGTGCAGAAATCATATATTATAAATAAAATGTAAATAAGAAAAAAATAATTAATTCATAAATTGTAATAATATATAATGCAATTCTGTAAAATCTCGAGTATAATGCGCACAATTTATAAAATAGGTGCGTATTTTATAAGTTGATTGTTGATGTTTCTCTTCATTAAAAAAATATTTGTTGAAAAATAATTATTGATAAGCTATGTCTATTATATAATAATTTTGTTTTTATTAGAAATTTTCAGGGTAAATTACACAAGTGCCCATTATATTCGAGATTTTTTTAATAAGCATATAATACCGTATTATTACTTTTGAATAATTTAAAATTATATTGATTAAATAATTGTAATATTCTATAATCATGTAAATTAAAGTAATGATAAATTTCAGTTTATAATGAAAAAAATATTGTAATTATATAATCATTGATTTATTTTCATTATAGTTTATGCATATGTATTCCACGTTGACTTTGTATATAATCTAAATGCTAAGGGTGATTTAAAGCTTGCACTAAAATGCATGTCTAATCCACGAATACTTTACTTGAAAGGTTAGTTACATCTTTGGTATTTAGATATTGTCTCTGGTGATATACAATAGAATATCATATTTCTTTGAGAACTAAAATAAGTAAACGAATATTCATATATCAAATATAAACAAATGATTTTAAAGAAATAAATTTGATTTAGAAATATGATTTTTGTATCATTTGCATATAAGTTAAAACACTCTAGGTGTAAACACTCAAAATATTAAAGCAAAATGAGGTCAGTGGAGGAAGTTTAAAAAAATGGCACTCTCGTGTTAACTGACTCATTACAAAGAACAATGAGGCCACTTGGCGCCAATTTTTGAACTAAATAAGCACAACAAGTAGACTGTTATAGCAGGGTGAATAATAACGACATCTTTACATACCAGAGTGTATTTAGATGAGCTTTTTATGTAAAAATATTAATAATAAAATGAAGGGTGGACGCGCTACAGAAAACAAAAATCCTACAAATTCGCGCTCGATTTGTTTCTAATTGCAGTTGGCTTCTTTGCGTTGCATTCCTATAAAATTTCCTAACTATCATCTACGATGATTGGTGCAGTTCATCCTACACATATATCTTTATATTATATAATATGTTCATTTTAGGAGTGATATGAAACATGATGATATAATATGCTGTATGTTATATACTTAGTAAATTCACAATTATATGATATGATATGGAGAAGTTGAGAGTATGCGTTGAATATGCTAGAAATTAGGGTTTATACAAGAAACGAATTTAGATTATCGTATATGAAAATCGATTTTAACCGGTTATTTTGTTCGAATAAATCAAAAACGGATAAAAATCGACAAACCCTGATAGAGATTTTAAAACATCCGTTAATTATTATACCGGACGAGAGGATGATACGAAGAGTTTAGTGAACGATAAATGAGTCGTTAATGCTTTTGAAAGCGTAGGAAGTGTATACAATATATTGTTCCTATAAAATTGACATGTTTTCATTGTATTAGCATTCCATTAATTATTGTACTATGTATGTAAAAAATAGAAGTATTCAAAGAGGTCCAAAAGGACGCAAAAAAATATCATACAATATACGTAGTGGTATACGCTTTTCTTTAGGATGTTGAACATTCATAGTTTTAAACACATTACGTTGCTACATTAAGTTTCCTTTTCATTTTTTTTTTCATTCTATCGAAGCGTTACATCTTTCATTTTCGTTATTCGAAGCTATTACATTTTTTGATTAACTTTCGTTGTAGCACATATATTAGCTTTTTTTTTATAGAAACCCTGTGTAAGCTACATTTTTTAAGTTTTCACGTGAATCTCGTAAAACTTTTGCATCATTCCTAGCATACCAACCTTTTCTTTTTCAGTAGTTGTCTCCGCCGTTGTTATCTTCTCTTTCTCCTCTGCTTTCCTCTCCTTTAAAGCTTTAAGCAATTTCCATTTACTTCCTAGTGGTCCTGAATCTTTGCCATCTTCCTTGGGTTCTTCTTTACTGACGCTGACAGGCACATCGATTTTAATTTTGGGTACTTCGCTGGGAATGATTTCTGGCTTTTCGAATCTAGGTTCAGTAAGTTTACAACGTGCAAACTCATCGGCAATTGCGGTTTCAGCTTCTTCAAATTCGCTTATACTGTGATGTGGACTGTCTGGTCCTGATGTTGCCCCAGAAGAAGCGTCTTCGTCCTCTACTTCAACCTCTTCTTCGCTTTTGTATTCTGGTTGTTCTTCTGGTTCCGAAACTTCTTCGAACATATCAACACCGCGGGCTTTAGCTGAAGCTAAAACATGTATCTCGTTGTCGCGTTCATCCAAAACGCTTTCAACTACTTTCGCTGACATCCGCAACTCTCTTAAAACAAAAGACATTTTTTCCTTTACTTCTTCGTCTGGTTCCATAAGCTCGTTCTCCTCTTCTTCTTGCAACGGAGCTCCCATTTCTGTCTCGAGTGCTGTTTGACGTTCTAATTCCTCCAATTTCTTCAACTCGTAACAGTACCACTCGTCTTCGCTGTCTATACTATCTTCGGTACTTTGTCGTCTTGATGATACTCTTGAAGTACTTCTCCAAGAGTGCGTGCTTCTATTATCTTCATCCATCATACCTGGAATCTCCAAACTTTGTTGATGCCTGGACATCCTTCCGTAGTGCATCCGAAAGCTGGAAGCTGGACTACCCTCCACTTCGTTCTTAACATTTTCATGACTGTTTGTACTTTCAGTTGATACTTGTTCACTCAGAACAACCTTTTTCATAGGTTCTGGTTCCTTTATTTCCACCACTTCTTCAATACTTTTCTCCTCTCCTTGACTATTATCCTCCAAATCATCAGTAATCGAAGAAGATGTCTGCCGTTGTCGGTATTTACCCAAAGCTCTTGAAACTGCAAATTCCATTGAAGCTCCTCCCAAAGTTACCGGCGGAAAACTTTTATCACTGCAAGCTGAATCCTCGCTCTTATCTGAAGTTTTCTTAATTTCTCCAACTGTTACAAAAATACTACTGGAACCGCTACCAGTACTTTTCCCTGACACTTCTTCATCACCTCCCAAATGATCGGACACATCAGTATCTTGATCCGTTTTTGGAGTTGTTGGTTCTGTTGGTAGTGGCATCGGCGATAACATTTTGACCTGCTCAAATTGTGGAGGCGATGGTGTTAATTCTTTCGGCCTTGGTACGGCTACTACTCTCTCAAATTCGATAGGACATTCCGAGAATACACTATAGCTATCTTCACTTCTTTCATCTTCTGAAACCATTGAACCGGCACGGTTAATGCTCCATTCATTCTCTGATTGTTCAGGATCTGATAGCGACTGTGCGCTGTGATAATTTTTCCGTTTCGCTTTTTGTAGTATACCAGACACCGTAGAAACTATCTTCTTTTTCTTTCGATGGAAAAGGGATTTGCTTAATGGGGATTTATGTGGTTCAGGTTCTTCTAATTTACTGTTTCCTGGCAAGGAATATGATCTGTGACGTTTGGATAGATGCAAATCAGGGAGCCAATGGGAAACGGAATTCATTGCTGATTTAAGGGTGTTGCCACGTTTAAATTTCTTGCTAGGTTTATGCTGTAGCTGGGATTGGCTTGGTTGAGGATCGTTTATATTTGATGATATTGATAAGTATCCTGACTGCGATACTATCACTGAATCGTAGTACTTGCTTTGCTCTTGTTGGACTATGTATTCTGGCACGTTGCGATTTCGTAGGTCGAGTTCCAGATAAGGCTTCTCTTGTCGCTGTCTTCGTTGATCAAGGTAAGGAGAAAATCCGCTTTCCGCAGTTTCCATGGAACGAATAGAACTCGATGTGCTTGCGCTGTCAATTGGATATTGGGGTTCGCCACCTGGGCAGTTCAGCCAGTTGGCAGGATCATTATAGTCGGCGTTTGGTAGTTGAAATACGGCAGGTTCGTAGCGACTTGATGTGGGATAATAGGATAAGGCATCTGTAATGTTGCCAGTTGGGAACATTGTGCGTTGCATGGCTGTTTTATAACCGTCGTGATTCTGTAATGTAGGTGGAGGCTCAGTTCCATTGCTCGTGGAGTACGATCTGCTCAGGGACTTCTTGCGAATTGCATGCGCGTCTTCGTTGTTTTCGTAAGGCTCGACTAAGTCGGGATATTTGATGGGATTCATGTAATCTGCACTGCTGCTGGTGTATACCGAAGTGTAAGTCTCCTGCCGATTGCTTCCTGCCACCGAGTAGATTGCAGGCTGCTCATTGCGGCTCATGTACTCCGTCTTCGGATGTTTGTTCTTCATACGTGGGCTGACGTTGATGTCGGATGCCGGTGCCGGAGCTGGAACGAAATTTCCATATCCCTGGATTCCAGCTTCCATGCTGCACGGTGATTTAACTGTAGTGAAAGCAGACAAATGATGACCACCTGGAAGGATGGAGCTGCAGACTGGGACTTGTATCGGCGCGGTATCGGCAAATGTAGTAAATTGAATGGGATTTGGGGAAGGGACTCGGATTTTATCTGAGAGGTAATTTAGTGTTTGTGGTTTATTCGCCGGCGATCCAGGAGATTTTTCCATGCTTGACCAACCGCTCATTGACGATAAACCAGAATCCGATTTTGCTGTGTTAATTGAGGTCTTGCTGCGTTTTGGGGATGTTTTCTTAGGGCTTATGTGATCTTGGCTAGTAATTGACTTGGGCATTTCAGTGCCGAGGAAGACTGGACTAGGACCTGCGTGTGGACCGGGCACTACTGTACTTATGGGCATCAAGAACGTCTCACAGACATCTTCTGGAGCAGGTGGTGGTGGACTCGGAGATCCTTTAGAATCTTCAACGTAACCATCCTGTCTTGTGCGTACGCTGCTGACTGACAGTGCTGGAGACTGGGCACGTTCGGATTTTACATTAAATATTGATGGAGTGGAAGCATGGACTGTTTCATAAGGCATCGCCATCATTTCATTATAGCTGCCAGCGTAGAAAGGATTTTTTGAGATGAAAGGATTATGGGAGGCAGCTTCGGCAGCTTCAGCATTGTGGACTGCAGCGCTGTATGCCAATCTTCCAGTGACTGTAGTATAAGGTGCATTGCAGGAAGCGACCTCCAATTGGCGACGCCTCGGAGACGTCGGCGTCCTCATTCCCGACGCTAATGTTTCCGCAACTTCGTTATCACTTTCCGTCACTGATAGTCTCGAGCTCGGTCTGTTAGAATACACTGATATATCGGTTTTTGCCATCAGCATCATTTCCTCTTGATCTCTCACATTGCCAGTGAAGCTCCAATTATCCTTCTCCTCGGTCTTTTCCTCCGTCTCCGTTATTTCTTTGTCGCCGCTGCCATGGGGAGACTCTAACAGTTTTCTCTGAAGCTGTTTAATGTTAATTGAATCCTGCTGGAGTTTAGTGCTCAGCCTGTCCAACTCGTTCAGCTTCTCAATGGTCACGTGATCTATTGAGCCGATCCTCGATAATTGGGCTATGTCTTGTTCGCTAACGCAAGGCGAATTACCGCGGTAATCCTTGTAATCCATCGCGCTGTAAACATCTCTATTGTCCTCGATCTGCCTTAATTCATTTTTGTCATCCGCCTCCTCCTGTTCCTCTTCCCATATCATGCCTAGCTGCGATTGCTTTGCCTCGGGTCCAACCAAATCCTCACGATAAGCTTGATTGAGGCTCCTGTAAAACGCCTCGTCCGGTGCATTCATCTCGTCCATCTCCAAGTCAATCTCCTTAATCTGCATAGGACCAGTTACATCCACGCCCTCTTCCAGACCATCCTCGACGGTGCCATTTCCCAGTATCTCTCTTATGACCTCCAACTCCCCCATCCTTCCATCTAATAGAGTGCTTCTCTCCTCCCTGCTGCCTCCAGATGTGTAAAAATCCAACAACTGCGCAATCACGCTCTGCTGCTCGTAGAGAAGACTCTCCAACTTTTCCAGTCTCTCCCACATCTTGATGTACTCCTGCGACAATAGATCCAAGGCGCGCCAGGCATACTTCAACTCGGTCTCCAAAATATTCAACCGCGTTCCAAGTCTCTCCATGTAGTCACTAATAATATAGTCCACGTTTGGATCGTAGTTCTGTGGCATCACAGCCGACATGCTGGCGCCTTCCATCATATTCCTCTGATCCTCCATTTCAGATCTGATATGTTATAATCGAAAATAATATGGAAAATTCGTTGCACTGGACATTTAATCTAGGTGGTATTCAGCGAATGCCTCGAGCTCGTTGGGAATATCGCCCTCTCCCTACCATCACCCTGCATATTAGCGCGGGTCCTCATTTTCTTAAATTAAACACTAGCACGGACACTTTATTATTAAATTCATTTCACAGCGACGAAAATGTTACTCAAGTCCACTCTCAGTCACGTTTCTCTTTATTTTCTGTTTTTTAATCCTTGAAAGTCCTCACTCGATCTGCAAAAGAAACAACACAAGCTATTGCCATTTTCCTTGCCTTGCAGATCCTCATTAAATTCGTTCCCATTTTATATCTGCACGAAGGAGAATGAGCAAAATAACACGAATATAATCAACATACTCTTAACACATGTAATTTGCTTAATCAAGAATAATCAAGATTAAAACACCCCTTTCATACCTGGTTCAAACTAAATTAGCGCTAAAGTAATGACAACAATTTGTACAACTAGTTAATATATATAGAAACAATTTTATTTCACTATTGTCATTGTGATGCAAAGTTTTTTATGGTCGAAGGCGAAAGAAGAATGAAAAAGGAAAAGGACAATGTCGGCATTACCATTCAAATATTCAACGATAAAAATGGAATGATCGCAAGTCAGGAGGTATAAGAAAAGGGAAGAAGATGAAGAAGAGGTTGGAAGTATTGATTTCCTCGGAAGTGCGACTGACCTCGGCAGGAGTTTCGGCTCCAATCTCACAGGTGCCATAAATCATACGGAACTTTACGATATGCTCTTTCTCGTGCGAAACAAAAACCTTTAAGGACGAAGGCTCGTTCGACGCCTGCAAAACATTTTCCCACCGTAATTCCATTAATCACATTACAAACATGACGCGTTCGCGTTTTCCATTATAAAAAAAAGAAGAAAAAGGAGGATAAAATTGGAATCGGCTGCTTGCATATTCGCAGTCACGATAAAAAAAGACTGCATGAAATCCAAGCGAAACTCGGAAATGGTAGAGAGATAAAAGTGGATAATAATTACGGGCTTGTAAACGGGAAAAGTGTAGAGAGAAAAACTGAAATGAAACAGAAAATTATTTTACGCCAAGTAAAATACGAGTGAAAATATAAAAAGGAAACTGTTTCGTTTATTGAATTTTACCATTTTTTAACTGTAATTACTGAATACGGTATTTGAAATTAAATTTAATTAACAACATCAAAATAAAAAGAATTTAATTAATTAAGTATTATAAAGTAGGGAGGGAGAAAGGGCTTATACAGAATAGGACTTTGAAAATTGTTCCTAAACTTGTTTGGTGACTGTTGAAAACCCACAATGAAAGTCGAGTTCAGGAATGCTCTTATGTGACAATGCGTCTGCTGACAAAGCTTCAGTTGTTGAGACTAACCTAACCAAAAGTCGCTTTGAAGTACTTGGACCTAGAAACCAATGTCTATATTTGATAAAGGTCTGCCTTTGTGATGAACTAAGTTCACGCTATTTCTCGCAAAATTAAATTGTAAAAACAAAAGTAAGTAATTTGAAGTTAGGTAAGAAACTAAATTTAAAAACTTTATATGTAACCATTGGTAATACTTCATAGAATAAACAAAATTTTGCTTAGATTTAGTATTTAGATTTTAGATTTAGAATTTAGTAAGCAATAAAGTTATGTCATCTTAGTTATACTTGGTATTATCGTATTATAGTAAAATGTAGAAATTCTAACAAACGGAACCTAAAATTACATAAGTTAAAGTTAATTATTTGGAACAAAAGTTAAATAGTAACAATAGTAGATAAGAATGTAAAATACTATGCAATTTTAGTATAACATATATGACATAATATGAACTGTAAATTAAATGTTTTTAAAAACTTTATCGCAATGTATTTTAATTCATAAAGAAGTTCCTTAGTGTCAAAAAAAAAATTACAAGTTATTTTCTAAACAAAAAAGCTCATCTGTAAGATAAGTTCAAAATTCCTAAGTTTGTTATTACAAAGTTTGTTGGTTGGAGTTTTACTGCTTTTTCATATATATATATATACATAATGTCATTAGACTTTGAAGACGTTGCGGCATGTGTGTGTGTTTTTGTGTGCGTTTCAGGCAATTACCAACCGACCCCCTCGACTTTAAGAGGCCACCCCCGTGTTCTATTTCCGGTACACGACGATTCCCAAGTCGATCGATACCTTGATACCATATACACATTTACGCTGAATTATGTAAAGAATCCGCAGAGGGAAAGAACCGAACGAGAAAGAAAATGTCAATCTAGCAATCTGCCCGAAAGCAAAAGAAAATCCCATTAGCTGAGCCGCAATAAATAAATAAATTTGTAATTGTAATTTACGTCCGAAAGAAAACCCTCGGCCAAAATACGAGGCTATTAATGAAAACACCCATAAATTTCCTATAAGCAAAATCGATCCTAGCTTGTCGCTTTTGAATAAAATATTAGTTACATTATGCTCCTTCCATTAAAAACAAATTACCTACACATTTTTCACAGCTACGTTATGAACACGCGCAAAAACTCTTACTAACGCACTCTTTTCCGCCTTCTGTGGAAAAGATATTATGTCTAAAGAGTAGGAATAAGATGCTTGAGTGCCGTATTAAGTTCAAATTGGGGTTTATGGGAAGTATAACCAAATATGGGGTATTGTCCTTTTTACTATGGATGCTCATCTTTCAGTACTATATATTCCTGTTATTCTAGCTTTGAGTATTTGATCGATACCTTTCGAAGTAAATCGCATAAGGCTTACGGAAGGATCAATTTTATTATTTCAGAGTTGTATTTCTGAAACTTGTGCTAGTATTGAACTACGAAGACTTTGGTTAAGCTTAGAGCAACAAGTTTCTACATGAATTATTATATTAGATTACTATAATAATAGGAAGCATTTTTCGGACTTCCATGCATCTTTTTACATTAGAAATTACACATTTATGACATCAATTCATGGAGATTTATTATAAGAATTTATATTATATATTATTACACAAGACTTACCACAACTCTAAATCGATTTTACTCCTAATTTAAGATCAGAAAAATAATATAATAAACAACTTTAAATTATTGTATAATAACTATAAAAAAATGTCATTTTATTACAATTCTAGAATTTTATTTTGATATATTAGTTGTTTCATGAACTGAAATTGAAAACTAACATTATCTCAATGATGGGTAAGATGTCACAACCAGAGGATACCTTTATTAGGACTTCAAAGAGTATATATTCCAGGAATGTCTGGATAGGAAATAAAATATTTAAACACTACCAAAGTTATATTTTATATAAATAAAATATAATTAAATTAAAACCATACTTTTTGTTATTTTTATAACATTTTATATTTAAGTGTACCATTATTTAATAAAATCTTTTCTGAATCTAGGTTATTCAAGATTATTATAAATGCATGAATAAAGCATATATTATTCAGAATTTTTAAATAAATTAAATTTACAATTATAATTCCAAGATAATTAGATATTATGCTGCAAAAATGTACATTAAAAATTTATTAAATTGAATGAAATAAAAAGTTTTGTGCCTTTTTCGTAAGATGTCTTTTGTAAGCCATATCTCACGATGTATACGTTGCATCTTGTCATTATCTACTGCGACATAACATTTTAAAAAAGTTCTATGACAGTTTTGTGTGTTAGAGAAAATTCGATACATTCTTCAGTACCTACGATGAAGGGGAAAAGAGGAGCAGACGGCCAAAACACATTTTGTTGTTTATGAACCCAATACAGTATCGAGTGCAATAGCAAAGCGTTGGTTGCAACGATTCCGTTCTGATAATATGGACGTTGAAGATGAGACATTTCTGGTAGGTCAATCGTCGAAAATGTTGATATAATCATGGAAATCATCGAGTTGGACCATCATGCGAGCACTTATTCCATTGCCCAGGAACTGAAGATTAGCCAAAAAACAGTTTGGAACCATTTTCATAAGGCTGATCTCAATAAGAAGCTCGATATATGAGACAAAACGCTCAGAATATAAATAACATTATATATTACATAAATGCAATAAGTTCATAGACTAATAAATTTAAATTTCGGTTAATAAAAGTTTAGATGTATTTTTCAATATGATGCCGTACACATTTTTAGCATATTCGATTTAAATACGTTAACTAAACGCTTACCATAGCTAATTTTATTCTAAAACTTGTAGTAAAAGGATAATTTTAGCAGAATTCAACTAATTAATATAATACGTTTTCTAAATACATTGATGTATGTATACGTGAATAAAATCATTGAATATATTTAATTAAAAAAAAAAATATAAATATGTATATGAATACACAATAGAAATAACCTCATAAAACATATGACTGTTTTATATTTGTGCCATTTTTTGTACTTGTTTCGGAATTTACAGTGTATAGTAATGGTACTGATTTCAATTCCGATTATGACCGCAATACAAATAGATCGGGGCACTATTGTTTTAAAACCGTTTTACTGTACTAATTTGCGTGCGGACCGAAATTGCAGCAAAAAGTCTTCCATTAAACAACACGTTTGCTGGCCTTCCAATTTGCCGAATGCATTCATTTGATTTTCCGCATACGCGGTAACAAATTTCGAATCGAAATTTCCTGCCACTAAACGCATTCATCAAATCGTTATTTAAACGTCGATTGTTTATTCGTCATTTCCAGTGTTACCATTAACGTTCTCCCTGTCAAGTGATTTATTCACATAAGCATAGCAAGAAAAAAATATATATTTAGTTGCTATACTGAAGATATTCGATTTACAGAATGACTAATACTCACAATTTGTACTAATTTAAGATAAGATGTGCATATTATAGTCGCATAAGTACATGACATTCACGTTTCATTTTACTAAAAGTTTAAGTTAAGTTACTTAATAATTATTTTATGTAGTTTAGCATCAAATATTAAAACTTGTGATTGCGTATTATACGCGAATCTTAATTGTATCAGAATTTCTCGCTCTAAATTGCGTATTATATTCAAGTTTGAAGGTATTAAGTTATTTTTTTAGTTAAAAACCTGCACCATACGTTACGTTAAGGTTGGGATTAATGAGTATTATAATAGATTGAACAATGGCCAAATTGGATAAAATCTATTAAAAATTAAATTTCATTAATTTATTAATATATCTACCTTATTATACACATCAAACGTTATTGAAGTTCTGTGTATATGTATATTATAATGAAATTTGTAAAATATTAATGAAA